TGGGGCTGAGTGCCACAGAGTATCAAAATTGGAAAAGAAAACTAATAAAAAAACACATTGATGGTTTTTATAAATGGTATAAATGCAATATTTTGTCATTTCAAATCTCAATTATTTGACGTTTTGAAAGAAAAGTAGCCTGTTAATCTGAAACAGTTCATTCAGGGGAAGATCTTTTCTCACCAGACTCCACTTAAAATCTGCCAATTTAATATTTTGTTATTTACTAGCAAATGACATCATACAGCACTCCTCAGATCCACTTATGTATCTATAAAAGTTAAAGTGAAAAGAAGCTTTCTGGACTGCATTTGTGACCTGTGTCCCATTGGTCTTTAAACAATGTGAAGGACTTCTTTCAGACTTTTTATTAGCCCCGTTTTGTTGGACTTACCTCTTTTTTGTCATGTTATGTTGCATGACATTTCTTAATTGCTTTTTGCCCACTTCCACCTTCTACTGCACCCCCAGCCCTCTGTGGAGAGGGGAGCTCCCAACGATACACTGTATCTACGTTATACAGTATAAAATGAGGTTGACATAACTTGACATGCAGGTTGGAGTTATCTTTGGCCTTCTGTGAGCAAAACATACTTGTTGACTTTTTAATACTTCACAAGAATTACACAATATCATCTACATAACAAATTGCTTGAGTGAAGATATTACTATTTTCTAACTTATTTTTTTCTTGTATATCTTATCATGAAATCTGCTAGTTACATTAAAGTATTAAGTAGCATTCATATATTCAACTTTAATATATTTGCCCTTGGGGGCAGAAGTTCCAGCTCTAAACACAAAATTCATATAGTATCACCTTCTACACTTGATGTGGGGAATGTGTTAGCGAGCAGTTTACAGTTTACATCTGCAGCAGACATGGATTAACATCACCACTCATTGCGAGTCATGTTTCTCTCCACATGGTGAATGTAAGTCCCCTGTTCGCTCTCCTTTTAGCTGCTTTAGCTAATTGGTCTCAAAGTTAGCTAGTGAATAACTTTGGCTGTCTGTTGTTTGGTGCTGGACACGTAGTGTGCAATGGGTTTATCAGAGCTTTTTCACTCAAAACAGATGAGAGAGGTGCCGGTGAACTGACAGTAAACTTTAAAGTTGAGGGCCATAAAACCAAAGCAATTAGCTGAAAGAAGCTAAAACGCTCTGTAGAATGGAAGGGGACTGCAGTGTCGGGTGGTCATTCCCTGTGAGTTTGTCAGTAAGAGTGACCTTTAGATTAATTGTTAATAAAGATATTGAGTCAAAAACTGATTAGCGCAGCTTTTAAAAGAAAAAAACAGCGTAATAAATTATACTTTTTAGGTGTGTGTGTTTATTTACACACTTGTCATCGAAGAACATTAGCAATAATACACAGCTCCAGCCACTTTGTGTTAGCACTGATTAGTGTTTATAATAAATTAAATGACGAATGTAATTGCTTTTCTTAGGCTGCCCTGTGTGTTGTATGCCTGCTGTACCTAACTGTTTTTACATGCTTTTATAATTGTGGTCATGTAACTTTGGTAATGGTGAGCCATGTTAAATCTCAAGGGACTTTCGGAGTTCATAAAAGTAAATAAATAAAGACGTAAAATTTAACTGCGCGCATATAATGTCGCATTTTAAGTTTTATGGTCACAGCTCGGCAGTTATTCCAAATACTAATTTGGATTGTCAGAAACATGAAAATAGCTCAGTCATCAGTGACTCGCTCAGTGTGATTAAGCTCTTAGTTAATATTGTAATCACTGCACTGACATGATATTAAAATCTGCTTTGAATGAATGAGTCTGGAGCGACCTGCGTTGACCTAATGATAGTGCAGCCAAAAGGAAACCTGAAATTCACTTCACTCAGTATTACCTCAGTTTGGTTTCTCCACTGTCTCATAATGTGAGTCTGTGTCTTTCATTTTCTCTCCCTTCACTCTCTCACACTTGCTCTCACATGACCCAGCAAGTCCCTTCATTCCCTTCATCGGCCCTCTCCTTTTTCTCACCTCCTATCTCGCTCTCTTTCTCCACACAGTGCTCATATGCAGTTTTTCTGTCCCTTTTTCTTTTCACCTCGCTCTGTTCTTCTTTCTCAGTCCCAGCACGGCACATCTTCATACAATTACTCTCCATTAAAAATGGATTAGATTTCACCTTCACAGTCTGTCTACAGATGGAGAACAGGAGGGAGGGAGGGCAGAAGACAGAGAAAAAGGGGGGGGGGGCTTTGAGAAATCAGGAGAGGACGAAGTGATGTGAAGGAGTAGATTAGGAAGGGGCAAAGCAAGGGAGGGAAAGGGAAAATAGAGTGGTAGAGAGAGAATGGAGAAAATGATAGAAAGAGAGTGAGGAGTGATGGAGGGTGAGGAGGATGAAAAGATTGAGGCTGCAGCTATCTCAACAGCCAGAAGACATGATTACAGAGGGGGTTTGTGGTCACCTTGCACATTTTAGACTCACATTTATTCTCCCCGCAAAGTCAGGAGAAATGGTTCACCCTCTTTAACTTTTCACTCAGAAAATCGTGTGAACTCTTTGATGACTGCGTGACCAAAAAGTTTGCATGATTTTATTGCTCAGCGCAACTCGATGAAGCGGCTCATGGACGTCAACACTGGGTTTAAAATGGGCTTAAAGGAAATCAAAGAAAAGTTTATGCAGGTCATGTCATGAACTGGTCAAAACATGAGGATTATAATCTTTGCTACATCACCATCTAGTAGCATTGTTAGTCATAATTGGTAGAAGAAAAGCCACTTTCAATGGTCTCAAAAGAGCGTGTGTCCTGCGCCTCGACACATCGAGCAAAGGGCAGTCCTCGTCTTTTGTTCGTTTGCTTCTACTTTGAGCCTTTCGGCACCATGTAAGAATACTTATTCCTCTTAAGAAAGGCGTAGCAAAATCTATATTTAACACATTAAATCACTTACATTACATTCAATTAACATTGACAACGACTACCAGATAACATGTCTTAAAGCTTTTTTAATGTCCAAATATACAATGTATAATTATTATGCAGTAAGCCCTGATGCAAGTGTCCACATGTATAAGAGTGAAAAGGGAGGTTAGCTTTGACAGGTATTGCATCACCAGTCAGTCGTCCCCCCCCCCCCCCACCTCCTTACCCCTCCTGAGATTCCCACCTAGGGGTTAAGAAGGGTTAAATCTAATCCGCTCCTGCTATGTTTGTGTATGTGTGTGTGTTTGAGGGAGCCTTGGATCATCCGCCTTCCAACTGCACAGTTAGTCTAGACTGCTTCCCATGCAGCCATTGTATCCTCTTGGTAAAGCTCCATTGTCTTGCTCTGACAGAGGGAGATTATTTGCACAAGGCTAGAACTGCACTGAGTTACAAGGTCCACCTATACAGCCTAAAGCAGCCCTCATACTTTTCACTGAAAATATGAGCAAATGGCTTCATCATCTGAAAAAACTCTGTCTAAACCTCAACAGGGGTTTCGTGTACAGACCTAGAGCTGCAAAGACTCTTTATTTCCCACTTAAAACTGTTTATTATGAACATTTCCAGTGCTATAAAGAAAAACAAGGCAGCCCTTTAAAGGGTTTAAAAGTTGTAACTAATGGCTTTATTTATGGTTAATACATCATTAACTTCTGCCCTGCCATATACATCAGTTACACAGCATTACTAAGACCAACGTTTGGGATGTTAGGTTGTGAAAATGCCCGCTGAACCCACAAGGTGTTCTTATTAATGGTAAATGAACTGCACTTATATAATGTTTTTCTAGTCTTATCGACCACTGAATGCGCTTTACACTACAAGACACATTCACCCATTTACACACATTCAACACAGCACATTTTCTATCTGACACACACTGATGATCAGGGGCGGTTCAGGGGTTCACCGTCTTGTTCAAGGAGACTTTGACATGCAGACTGGAGGATACTGTTGAATCCCAGCTTTACCTACAGTAAATTTGTTAGGTAGAGGCTGGATTTAGCTGTCAGTGCTGTGCCAATCATTGCTGTTTTTCAGTTTACGTGCAGGATTTTTCCACTGGTTATGGCTGGTCTGAGTGTTCTTTGCTACCAGGTCTCTCTAAATGCGTGGTGTGCACCTTCAAAACACTAACATGATGGCCAAAGGTGTTCAAGCTCTTTTTTTGTGTATTTTTATATCATTTATCTAAATATAGAGCATATATTATATAATATGTTACCAGCTTCACATACATCTCAATCATACAAGGATCTAAAATCTTGGATATTTCACTGCTATATTTAGCAATTGAGTCATCAATCCTTTGGTTACCCAGAAGAAGAACCAAGCATTCCCATTTGGCTGCTGTCAAAACCTGTAACTGTCTATTATGGTGTTTATTTCATTTTTGAAAACAACAACTTTTTTGCATGATGCTCTTACAGGCTGAGCTGATGAGTTCCACGCCCCTTTAGGCTCGTGGCATCAATTTAAAGCTCATTGTACTTGTCCAGTAATCCATGGGTTTCAGCCACTTTCTCTACATCTGTGAAAAGTGGAGTTTTCAGAGGTACAAGGTTTTAATCTGACGGCCGGCAGCAGGTTGTTTCATTGTGATGAACAGGTCTGGAGAACGAATCTGACAGGTAATAGGACTGAGATACAGCACAGCCCTCTGGAGGAAGGTGTGTGTGTGTGTGTGTGTGTGTGTGTGTGTGTGTGTGTGTGTGTGTGTGTGTGTGTGTGTGTATGGATGGTAGCCTCTGTGTGTGTCGGTGTTTACAAATGTGTTTGTAGAGTTATAGTCTATTCTCTTTCCCTCATTACCTTTGAGAGAAGACCTAGCCTGTAGAATACGTCTCTGTATACTCCAGCTTGCTTTCTCACTCTCTCTCTTTGTCAAACGATTCACTACCAAACACAAAGCTCCTTTCAGGAACGCCATCGGATTTTGCTGAGCTGTATTGCCTTTTTCTGCCCTTTTAACCTCCTTGTCTAATTCTTTCTCTCTCTCTCTCTCTCTCTTTCTTTCATCCTACCTCTCAATCATCCAGATGCCCCGGTGGCAGAGTTACACGACCTGTTCTGTAAGAAGCTGCAGCAGTGCTGCGTGCTGTTTGATTTCCTGGACTGCGTGGCCGACCTGAAGGGGAAGGAGATCAAACGTGCAGCGCTCAACGAGCTGGTGGAGAGTGTGGCCACGAGCAGAGGAGTCCTCATAGAGCCTCTCTACCCAGAGGCTATAAAGATGGTAGGAGGGGAGGAGAGGGCTGGGTAGGGGTTGGGACGATTGATGAAAGACAAATGGGTAAATGCTAAGTATCCAGATGCCAAAAAACAAAAACTGAACATCTGAACACAGACAGTGACAAACAACGGTCGTGGTAGATGAGCAAGTGGATCAATAGCTAAATGGATGGAGGGAGAAGGAATATAGAAAGCCAGATATACATTTCCACAGGTGAATCAATCCTCATCAAATGCAACACCTGGTGGCTCGACCCCATAGCAAGAAGAGATGAAGAGAGGAGGTGGGCAGGGAGGGAAGGATGAAGGAGGAAAAGAGAGAAGGTAGACAGTGTGGTATACAGCTGAGGAGCTGTGATGGAGTCTCCAGAGGCTATAAACAAAGGCGGTGACAAAGGAGAGGAGAAGAGAGAGGAACGTAGGGATGGATAGATAAAGGTAGGAAAGGAGAGACAGAGTGTTTGCAAAGAGTGCTCAGAAGCAACGGGCTGCACAGATGGTGAGAAAGAGAGGGATGGAAAGGGAAGACAGAGTGGAGTGTGTGGTAGAGAGTGTGGACACCAACAGAGAGCACCACAGATCCCAGAGGATATACAGAAGAGGAGAGGAAGGAGGGATTGAGAAAAGAAGGATATAGCTTATGCTATGGAGCGACGATACCCAGAGGATATGAAAATGCTGATAAGACAGAGGATGGGGAGGAAGGAGAATCTGGTTTAATGTGTGGCCACAAGCTTAAAAAAAAAGCTTAAATTATTAGGTGACCAATAATGGAGCTAGTGGATAGTACTGTAAATGCATAGCTAAAGTGCAGCACCACAGAATGAATGTAATATAGCGGAAAGAGAGGGAAATTAGGGCCTACATTCTATACTATGTTATATATTGACTATAATTCATACCAACCAAAACACAACAGTAGTTCTTTTCCTCCAAACAGGAAGGACTGTGTAGCTGTGCTATTGGTTCTGTGAGGCTATACTTTGGCACTGCAGTGCTTTGAGCTAAATGCTAACATCAGCATGCTATCATGACCACAACAACAACGCTGATGTTTAGAGGGTATATTGTTTACTATTTTCACCTTGCTGTCACACTTACATATGTAGTGCACAAGTGCTGGACCAACCAACCGACTGACAGACGAACAATGCCACCGCTGGCTAGCATGGATAAAAACAACAAAAGCATAGGCCTATTTGCAGCTTTAAGTGTCAGTGTAATCTGAACATGAAACCTCATGAACATTAGAAACAAAAGAGATACTGTGCGTGGAATAATGAAAGGAATGCTAAAGGGTGAGAGGCAGACTGGAGGATGGGAGGGAAAGTGAGTTAGGAAGCTCTGAAAGAATGAGCATGGAAACATGATAGGATGGGTGAGGAGTGGGGATGGGTTAAGAGAGTATTTACACGGTGTATTAACCGTAGCGAAAGGAAAGAGTTGCAGAAAGATTTGAACCTTTTGTAAATCAAACTGAGGTTTACATGGTCATAGGAAATGAGCCAATATCCTCCTGCAGTGAGAAGTTTAATTAATACAGACATATGAGGTGGACAGTGAGAAATGCTGCTGAATAAAAGGGGGCATTGGGATTTAACATGTTTGCTTTTTGCCATATCGTTTAAACAGTGGAAATGCATTAGTTGAATTAATCATGACGTAGCGAGCAGTCAGGCTGCATAACTTATTAGCTGTTCTCATAACACAGTCTGTGAGCAGCATCAAACATGGCCGACAATAGCTTAACTTGTGTATGACAGCGCAGAAACCAAAAACAGTTAGTGAAAACCACAATTTCAAAATAATGTTTTTTTTGGGTTTTTTTTTACCTGATGCAACAGTTTCTTATTTTGACTGGACAGTTTCACCTGCTATGTAGTGCAACACTGCCACCTAACACACCTATTTTATTAACTTGATCCAGCTGATTGCACCACTTTACTTCCCCTATAATACAGGTCTTGTCTATCCTTAAATTAGTGGAATGACATGTTCTAATGTCTCTTTCCATCTCTCCACCCCTTCCTTTTTCACTTCACTTTTCTCTCTGACCTGTTTTAATTTCACCCCCCCCCCACACACACACACACACACACACACACATTCATCTTTTCCACCCTATTTTTCATCCTCCTGTTCCCATTACTTTCCTTCCCTCCTCCTCCTCCTTGGTTGTGGTTTTCCAGATCTCGGTAAATATCTTCCGGACTCTCCCGCCCAGCGAGAATCCAGAGTTTGACCCTGAGGAAGATGAGCCAACACTGGAGGCCTCCTGGCCGCATCTGCAGGTACATCACATCACGTATACACAAATTCATGATAAGATTATGACCGTATTTACATAATTTCATAATTCGCTGAGGTAAAGGGAGAAAAGGGCAGTCGCTCTTGGAAAGGATATGTTAAGCAAAATGTGTTGACTTTGGCCTTTCTGGGAATTATTGTGATGCACTTGCTTTGTTATTTAAGCGAAACACAATGCAGTGTCAGTATAAGTACCATGAAAAATGGGCCCTACTGTAAGTTATATACTATATTTAGGAGGGCGGACAGTGCCATAATGCACACAGCTCCCACCAGGTGTTGCTCCTAATGCAGCGTTCAGCATTTATCAGCACATAAACACACAGTGAGGTCGTTTGGATCGGTTAAAGCAGCTGTTTAAAGCGAGATTTTAGCAAAACACAACAGTTTCATCAGCCTGAATCACAAAATGGAGCACTTCTAAACAGACTGTCCCAGATGACATTTGGGTGTGGCGTACAGTCACTTCTGCACCTTCAGGAAGAGATGAGTCGATACATAAGCGTAAAGTCCACTCTGTCTCATGAAACCAAATCAATTCCTTTTCTCACTCTGTTGGTATAAAGCGTCACTGTCTGTAAACTCCATAAGTAGATGAAGATTTCTGGCTTCTAGAGCTCAGATTTTTCCATGAAGTCACCTCTTGTTGCCATTGGTAGCAGTCATGAATGAATCATGCTATGTTGCCCAGAGCAGCTTTAAAAAACAAAATGCACCATTTTGAGAAATACACTTGTTCGACTTCTTGCAGAGAGTTGGATGAGAAGATTGGTATCACTCTCACAACTGTCCAATCAATATAAAGCCACAGGGTGCAGCCTGTTAGCTTAGCTTAGCATTAAGCCTGAAAACATGGGGAAACAGCTACCAGAGGTAAAATAACCCCGTCTTACTATACCTTACTAATTAATATGTTTTATTCCATTAGCTTCATCCGGTTATAGGGAATTATGTGTACAAAGCAAATAGGAAGCATACACTGTAGATTTATTTTTCAGAATTGCTTAACTAATGATTAAGACAAGCACAGAGACACAAGATGTCTAATCTTTTGCTGTTTTTGCCTCTGCCAGCTCGTGTACGAGTTCTTTCTGCGTTTCCTGGAGAGCCCGGACTTCCAGCCCTCCATGGCCAAACGCTATGTCGACCAGAAGTTTGTCTTGCAGGTAATCCTCTCTCCTTTCCCTCCTTGAAAAATATTGTTTGTCTGCTGAAAAATGCTGTCAGATTCAAAGCTCTAAGGTGTTTCTAAAATCTGAATAAATGGGAAGATATAAATAAATGAGGTTATTTTTTGAAACACACCTACTTGTACTCTTCAAGTGCTCTTAAGTTTTGGTATCTAGGTTTGGGGGCATGCATAAAAAACTGACTTAAAGATGTCACAGTTCTTGTTATAGATATTATGAGGAAAAAACAGTTCATGTAATATTAATTTTGTTGTGTGGGTAGTAAAAATATATTTCTGATGATGAAATGTTCTCACAAGAGAAAGAAAAATAAGAGTTTATTCAGATATTGAAATCAGTGTGGGAGGAGCTGGGTGTTATAGTGAGGAGGTTAGCGAATGAATGCAGGCACAAGTGCAGACATACTGTACAAACATACTGTATTTGTGTGTGTGTAATTATCTTATTTGTGTGTAGCTGCTGGAGCTGTTTGACAGTGAGGACCCCAGGGAGAGGGAGTACCTAAAGACCATCCTGCACCGTGTCTATGGAAAACTACTGGGCCTCCGAGCCTACATCCGCAAACAGATCAACAACATCTTCCTCAGGTAACAGGCTGCGATCTACCCATCCAACGCACAGGACTTAAAGGCGCTGTACATACAGCATTTTAACATCAAAGATTAGTCAACAAAGAAAGACCATTAACAGGGAGAAAAACTGCCTCTGCTACCTTTTCGATGTATTTTTATATCACCTGCATAAAAGCTAAACGACACACAATTTGCGACTTTAAACCAGTTGTTACTGAGGGCTATCATCGGCTGTTGAGGCTGACAGCTTGGTGAGGAGCTAATCTTTTCCAAAATAGCATTTGCCTTTTCAGTGTGCCATCCGTCCAATTTATCTAATCTTTGTGGGGCTTCAGACACAATAGAAACAAAGAAAAAGGTGCGCTGAAAGAACTTTTGGTTCCTACAAGAGTTCCTTAATTTTAGTTTATAAGTTTTACTTCCTGATATTTGAAGTTCTTTCTGGTAAGAAAAAAGAAATGAGCAGCAGGAAGGACAAGGGCTAATGGAAAATGTAGGAACACCAAATGGTACACGTTGCATCTAAAAGGGGTATTTTGTAAAAAAAAAAAAGCAGTCTTATGCACATGGACAGACATGCACAACCATGACTGTGCACATTTGCTCTGACAGCCCCGCATCTTCATCCTGCATCTTATGCTGCGAGATGAATCATTGTGTAGTGACACAAATCTCATCAAATTCTAACAAAAGTGCTGTGATGTACAATCACGTTTCATCTCTTCCCCTTCACCAAGTGCGGCTGAATTGGTGTCTTTTGTTGTGTTTGCAATATAATTCAAGCGCGACGCTGCAACAAGCTCTGTTTCTGCTTCACTTAACTGCTTTTAGTGTAATTGTTTGTGCCTCCTCACAGCTGCAAGGCAAGCATATTTCATTAGCTCATATTGTGCTTCTTTTTCTTTCGTTTGTCTGACGTGATAGCATCACAGAGATTACACAGGAGATGGCAGGAAATTGATCAGTTCTTTAGGAAAGGCGGACATCAGGACATTTTGAAGCATGGATTCACTTTATGCAAAGAATATGTTTTAGTTGCTTTTACTATTGTGAAAGTTGGAACTGCTGCCTAGTCTGATGCATCATTGAACGTCACTCTTTGTGTGTGTGTGTGTGTGTGTGTGTGTGTGTGTGTGTGTGTGTGTGTGTGTGTGTGTGTGTGTGTGTGTGTGTATGCTGTTTCTGATTTCAGGTTCATATATGAAACTGAGCACTTCAATGGAGTCGCAGAGCTGCTGGAAATCCTTGGCAGGTTTGTACACACACACACACACACACACACACACAGACACGCACATTTTGTAATATATCATGGCCTGACAAATGCATTTAGAGTAAAATTGAATAATAGGCACTCACGGGCTTGTACACGTACAGCAGCTGTATGTGGCCAGCTGCTCCTATTCACCAGACAGCTAGTAACCCAGTGAATTAAACAACTATGAAAAACGACAGGAAAAGCATAACCACTGTGTATTCATTTTCATTTTTCATCCATCATCATCGCTTCCTTATTCGTATCAAGTGAGGACACCTGTGTGGAGCCCATTGGAGTGAGAATTAAAAGATGAGGAGGGGAGGGAATGAGTGAAAGGTGGAGGGAGGTGGCAGGGAAATAGAGACAGAAACAAGAGGCGGGTTAAAGACATAAATGAAAGATGACTCAGACGTTTGTGTAGTTTGTTGTCTCTGCGGCCAGTAAGAGAAATATGAGGAAGATAGAACTGAAGAGAGATCAAGGCAGGAAGTCCAACTGATAAACACGTCTTGCTCTCTGCTTGAGCTCACACACAAATCAATGAGAACAAGAATGGAAAGATGACAGTAATAAAGAGAAAAAGGGGGAGGGAGAAAATGGAGTCTGGGTATAAACAAGGTAATTTTATCTAGTTTGTTTCTCTCACTCGGTCTACATGCGAAACGGTGAAGGGATATTGGAACATTGTCTTGTTTACATCTTATTTGATGAAGGGGTGCATGTAGAGGCTAATTAGCCGGCTGTCTCGCTATCTTAGTGAAGCTAAAGCAAAGGCTAGTTATTGTGTCTGTGCACTTGTTTGCATTCTTTCTATATATTCGCTTTTTTTATCTCAAGGACATTGTGTTGATTGCTCAGTCTCGCCAAGAAATTGACAAATTGATCCAAGAAAATATTCTGTGTCTGGGAGAATGACGGCAATGAAACGGTTTCTACAGCGACGCTAGCTTAATATGCAGTCGCTGGTTTATGTAATTGTGCACTAAGTTGATGGTTAGCCTCAATCTTGAGTTATTGATGGTTGTATTAACTCTCTTCAATTCTTTCCACTATATCATGTTTGCTGCTCTGAAGTTTGTTGGTCAGTTACAAACGTCTCCAAGTGTGAAAACTTGTGACAGCAAATTCAGGATGATGCTACACTACATGACTTTAACCCCAGTAGCTTTCATGATCATATTAATACATCATGTCATATCACATATTTTTTTTAAATATATATATATATACATATTATATATATTTTCTCTTGTCTGATCCCACAAAGGAATCCTGTGTCTCCCTGTGGTTACAACTTGTTTCTGACACTGAAACCAGCGTTTCTCACAGCAAACATAAAGATGGAAATGCAGTTATAGGGAAATATGTACAAACACAGTCTATAGTGGTGACCTATTATATACTATAACTATAGCATTGTAAACACGACTGTTGCATTGTGTAAATAAATTAAATTAGCTTACTATTGCACAGATAGCCACCATGTATAGATGGGATAGGTAGCATCACAGAGGAAAGGAGAAACCATCAGATGTAGCTACTTTACATGAGCATGATGATTTCTGAGCCCACACGGTCAGTGACAGCTGTGTGATGTTACCTGGATAATGTTTGCGGAGCCAAGTATTCGACACTAATAAGACAGAAATGCAATCAATAATCTGTATTTATGTCAAACATAAACCAAAACTCTGGAGTGTTTTGTCTTTATTCTTAAAGGATGAAGAAATTCATCACTTTAAGAATAAATTCATTCATTCAAACCCATCATCACCACAATCTCACCTGTTAAGGATCAAAAAGGGAGTTTTGAGGTTTGAGAATTAGAGGTTAATGGAGAAAAGAGGGAGGAAGGTAGAGGAGAGGATGAATCCAAGGTGAGGAAAGAGGGATAAGAGATGGAGGGAGGATGAGCAAGTGAACAGTCAGTGAGTCAGAAGTGGAGGAAAGAGGGAGAGCAGGAGAGGAGAGAGAGAGGTTTGTATTCATGTTGGTGGTAACAGAGGTATTTATAGCTCCTCCCACACACGGAGGATGCGTTGTACAGAAAGAGGGAAAGAGAGAGAGAGAGAGCAAGAAGACAGAGGTATTCAGAAAAAGGGTGAGAGGGAGGCAGAGAGACAGATTAGAGGAACAACAGGAGTGAGACATTATTGAAGGAATAAACAGACAAAGCTGCTGTTAGAAAACGAAGGCAGACGCAGACAGACAGTCTTGTCTCAGACTGACTGATGCAAAGACACTGATATCAAACTGACAAACAGCTCCGAGCGCTGCTCGATAAGTGTCATACTTTCCAAGTTTAGTTCCCACTCTTCCCGCCGCTCACACTTTTCTATCTGCAGGCTGAACTGCCGCTGTGTCAGTGGAGTAGTGAGCAGAGCAGACCACGCATTTGTCCAGTCACTAGGAAATGAACTCAGTACAAGAATAGACTCCACCACACAGACCAAAGCAGATGTGAACTGGCAGTTTTTGGAGTAATATGTGATGTAAATAGATTGTACTGTTCTCTGTAGAGTTAAATACCAACTTCACCACAGAGGATTACATTATTAGTCGTGAAGTTACAATAGACTTCTAGTGCCATGACATAACGTTTTCTTTCATATTTGATTGTCTAACGGCTGATCTGGATCACCTGCTAAAACTATTTATTGATTAATCGATTGGTCGACTGATCAAAAATTCATCAACAACCATTCTGCTAATCAATTTAAGTGGGACTGTTTTTTGTAACAAAAACAAGCAATTTGATTAAGTCTCTTTGTGGGAAAGGTTTCATTGATTGACCTCAAAATTATTGAAAGGTTAATTAATAATGAAATGACTCAGGACTCTCTGAATCATGTCTCATGTTTATGACAGATTCTAACTGAAAGAGAGACAACGTGACAGGAGTGGAACACTTCGCATTGTTGTTTCTGCCTGAAAGAAAGCAAACATGAAAGCGAACTGTGACTGTAACTTTAACCATCCTCTCATCTCCTCTCCAGCATCATTAATGGCTTCGCTCTGCCTCTGAAGGCCGAACATAAGCAGTTCCTGGTTCGGGTCCTCATCCCGCTACACACGGCAAAGTCCCTTTCGATCTTCCATGCACAGGTCGGTGATTTAATCCTTAATACATCAACATTTAAAGTTCTTAGTTCACACATTAGACTGTTTCCTTTGGTAGCCTTTGGCCATGAAAACTTGCCAATTGTTTTTGACCCCCATTTATGTTTAATGTGACACGACAAAAAAAAAAAAATACACAGCAGAAAAATTTGTTGATGTAGTTTGATGCTGTATCTATCCTGACATCATTTCCGCCATCTCAAATCTAAGAACCTCTTGCTAGTGTTTTTCAGGATGCAAGAGCCACTGAAATTATATTTGTATCTTGTTAAACTAAAACTATTAAATCAAACCCAGATTATTAACTTTACATCCTTTTAAGCTTAGTGTGCAGTTCTTCTCCTGACTGAAACATGCTTTACTGTAGGCCGTAGAGAATCCACCACCTGCCGTAGGATCTGATTGGCTCTACTGGCTCCTTTTCTGTACCTCTGAGCCTGTATTTTCTTCTAGCAGTAACCCGAGGCGTCACCAAAATCTCCTGTTAAGAGTTTGTGTTTTATGTAACGGTTAGCGGTGTCTACGAACATTTGGCTGGAATACAACGTGCATGTTTAAGGAGGAAACATAGGAATCAAGCCCTAAGTGCACCGCAGCAGTGGTAGTGTCTTTTTCCAATGTGTGAAATCTGCCACTAGGAGGCAGAGTTGAGTCACAGATAACACTGCAGAGAGAGACACACTCACCTTTGAATTGAGTGTGTGCCTTTGGTTTGTGCTTTGTGTATGACTATGTGTGTTTGGGCTATCAAAATATTTGATGACACAGATGGTAGTCAGTCTGTTGTGTGTGTGCGTGTGCGTGTGTGTGTGTGTGTGTGTGTGTGTGTGTATGTGCCTGTGCATTTTATTTGTGTCACACATTATTTGATTATGCAGAAGGTACAGTTTGTTCTCCACAAATTGGTCTGTGTGTGTGTGTGTGTGTGTGTGTGTGTGTGTGTGTGTGTGTGTGTGTGTGTGTTTATGGGTGGTGGAGTGGGTGGTTGTGTTTGTGTATTCTGGGTCTCAGCATCACCGTGCCCTACATTTCTCCTCCCCGTCTCTCTCCCTGCGGTTCACACACATACATTATTCACACGCTCAAACACACACTCAGTTTGACGGGGTCACGGGGGAAACGGCGCGAGTGGACAGCAGTTTTGCACTCGGTAGGTGTGGCTGCGCAGGAGTGACCCAGTTCTAGATCTGAATATCAAAATATAATATCACAGCAGCACCTTTTTAATAATCTTGAAGCTTTCTCAACACTGTGAAATACATTTGAGTCATCCCTCCTGTAGTAAGGGCTGTAAGGGCTCTCTCATGTGCAGTCAGGTCAGTGAACTGTAATAACAGCTGTTTCAGCTATAGTACGTAGACACAACATGGTTACACATCATGGCTCCAAATAAATTCATCTTTTCTAAGAACCCGGTGAACACATCCTTGTTTTTCTCTGCTGTGAAAGCACCCCGTACGTTAGTGTTTTCCAGGGGTGTCATTTTTTGTGACTGATGATGTTCATACTCTAATTTGATTGGTGCAGTTTATGATATCACTTCAGTTCGAACGGTCACACAACCTCGCTGACGTTTTTATCCATGTCTCGGTTCCATTTGTGATTTTAGCACTTTTGTATTTGTGATTTTAATCATGGTAACGCTTCCTTTTCATTTGGGCAGCTGTCAATGACGACATATCCCTGACACGCATGCGTTGGCGTTGTTATATCCCACCAGAAGCTCAAAATTGACTTTTATTAAGCTTTAAGTTACATTTTTGAGATATACTTTTTACACCTTGGACATCTTTAACTATGTATCATAACCAGATGAAGGATTTTAGACATCAGACGTCTGGATCTGAAGTTATCAGAGAAAAAAGCTGAGGAGATGTTAGGCAGCTCAGCTCCCAGCCACTGGAGAGGTCCTGTGTCTTTGAACTGCGTCAGTGAATCACTGGTTTCTAGCATGAAACTTAATCAGTGTTTCTACTAGTTCTAATCCCCTGGTCCCTAACTCTGGATGATTCAGATTACCGTCAAAAAACTCCTGAACGTCTGGGTTATAAATTATCATAGAAACAATTGAAACAAAGGCTAGCGGCAGACTCTGCTCCCAACAAAAAGCATGTTGAGTGGGACTCAGTGCTAATGATACCAAGCTAAGCTAAGTATCTTTCACTGTCTATGTGAAACCTAGTTATCGTAGCTTGTTAGCTTTTACTATCTGAGTGACATACAGCATGAGGGGTCCTTCCTAATGCTGAGTGATGTAAAGGAACAGATGTCTTCAATTGCTAACAGTCATCTGTAACGCTTTGTATCAGGCCACACGGGATCTGTGATGTGCTCCAGTGAGGAGAATTCAAATTTCATTTTGACTTCAAATAAAACTGTGAATAACCACGTTTATACAGTGTCTGACAAAGTTATAGAACGAACCTGTAAAATCCTGGCAAGGTTACTTTTTAATGTGCAGGTCATCACAAATTCCCAGGCGAGGCCAACTCTCTAGAGTGACTTCATCCCCCCAATACAAAGCCTAATTTGACCTGTAGCCTTGACAAATCAATATTGGTAAAACCTCAGCCTTTGAAAGACTACAATGTCCATAATCCTTATCCCAACAACGGCCTGCTGCACCCACAAAGCCCAGCCTGACAACAGAATCCAACATCATATTTACCCCAAGCGATTCCTCTAAAGCCTCGCTAATGCTTTAAATAGTCTGACCGCTCAGCACCTTCATTTTAATCCTTCTCTTTTTCCTGCTTTTCTTTTTATTCAAGCCTGACATCCCTGCTTTCACCAGTCCCTTTTTTTAGCCTCCGCTCCCTCCTTCCCTGTGCGTCTGTAAGCATGTTGTGGTGTGAGTGAAGGACGGGAAAGTTAGGGATGGAGCAGACAAACAAGAAAGGTACACTGTACTAAGGAAAGGGGATTAGACAGGGCAAATAAAAAAGATGAAAGCTTCGGATGATGTGAAAGCCAGACAGACACAGAGACAGACAATGGAGCTACAGGTCAAGAATGAGACCAAGAAAGAAACAACAAAAAAAAGAAAAGAAAAGAAAGAAAAAACTGATCGTCCTACAAAAAGATACAGAACAACCATCAACAATCTGACAGTACGCAGAAAAAACTGCTCAATCCAGCACACATTTATTTTATTGACATTCGAATGAACTTATGTGAAAGCTGTAAAATAGACCCGCACATTAATAATGTGAGCAAGGCAAAGGTATAAATAGGACCGAAGAGAAAAGACAGAGGCAGAGACAAGAGGTCTAAACTCTATCTCACATTGCCCTTAAGGGACTTTGTGTGTGTGACATCACTCCTTCCGAAGTAAACACACACACACACAGTCTCCGTCGCCACGGTGCCCACTTGCCACGGCAACCGGCCTGGGTGGAGGGGGCAACCGCAAAACACACACAGGCACATGTACGCGCTCACACACACACACACACACACACACACACACACACACCACACACACACACACACACACACACACACACACACACACACACACACACATACACACGTACACACTTGCTGAATAATGGGAAATGAATGCAGATCATATAATAGGAGACAAGACCTTGATGTAGACTAGACACACACACACACATACACACACACACATAGACACACTTGTGACACACACATCTCCCTTTGGAAAACTTGTCTTTCCGATCTTTAGCAATGTATAATCCTGAGGGATAAGTGCTGAGATCCCCATTGTCTTCTTGACAGCTTCAGGGTGTGTGTGTGTGTGTGTGTGTGTGTGTGTGTGTGTGTGTGTGTGTGTGTGTGTGTGTGTGTGTGTGTGTGTGTGTGTGTGTGTGTGTGTGTGTGTGTGTGTGCTGTTGCATTGGTGTGTGTGTTCTAACATGGTCTCCTCTGTCCTTACAGCTGGCCTACTGTGTGGTGCAGTTTATGGAGAAAGATGCTACAGTCACTGAATATGTAAGACTGATTTGCTACCTTACTATACTTACAACACTTGCTCATCAATTCTGGTTTGTTACATTTGCCATTGTTTTCAGTGGAAAAGCTCTGATAAATCCACTGTACACACCACCTGACCAGCAGACGGACACGGTTAAAACACTCGCTGGTGAACATAGTGGTGGAGACCAGATCAGAGAGAATATTGGACTTATATTCATTCACTCGAACAGTTAAACTTTTGCCCACACTCTGCTGTGAACATCCATCACAGTTTAAAGGCTCGCTGATTCAACTTTGATCTAAAATATATAGTTTTCCTGAGCAGTCAGCAATTATTTTAATAAGTGTAGTGCTGTCATTACAGATAGAAATGATGGACTAAACTACAAAATTAAGACTCATGTTGTGAAAAACTGACATTATTTTTAATATTATTGCCAGTCACATGAACATCAAACATTATAATCAATATAGTCCTGTAAATAGTTCACCAATGTAAACTGTTGGTCATTCAACTCATTGACCAATATCAGCACAGTAAGAATGAGACTCAGTGCAAAGTTAACAGCATACTTGATAATGCTCTAGCCAGAGTATGAGTTAATGGAGATGGTGCAGATGGATGCCAGCCAGCCAGCTACCCTGCTGAGCTAATGGCTGCGGTGTTTATTTATATTCATGTGTTTCATATTCTCTCTGCAGATCATCAGAGGGCTGCTCAAGTACTGGCCAAAAACCTGCACGCAGAAAGAGGTGAGACGGCAGATTAAAAAAAACCAACACTTTGCTGCGAGCATCTTAACCTTTTTGTATTTTGTGTATAAAATGTGTGTGTTGTTGTGTATGTGTGTTTAGGTGATGTTCCTGGGGGAGATCGAGGAGATCTTGGATGTGATTGAGCCGTCTCAGTTCATTAGAGTCCAGGAGCCGCTCTTCAAACAGATCGCAGCCTGTATCTCCAGCCCTCACTTCCAGGTTAACACCACACCCCCTTTCTGCATTCAAACCATGCTGCAAACAGTAGTCAGTACCAATAAATGAGAGTCAACTCTTCTCTGTGTGTGTGTGTGTGTGTGTGTGTGTGTGTGTGTGTGTGTGTGTGTGTGTGTGTGTGTGTGTGTGTGTGTGTGTGTGTGTGTGTGTGTGTGTGTGTGTGTGGTTCAGGTTGCGGAGCGGGCACTTTACTTCTGGAACAACGAGTACATCCTCAGTCTGATAGAGGAGAACTGTCAAGTCATCCTGCCGCTGGTATTCGCCACCCTCTACAGAGTCTCCAAGGAGCACTGGAACCAGTCAGTGGCACAAACGAACACAAACACGCACAAATGAATGCAACTCTTAAGTCCATTAATAGTGTTTGTTTTTAGCTTTTGGTCGAATTGGGTGTAACCTTGAGCTCTATCACTGTTTTGATGGAAAATGACTGCATTTGAAAGCGCTCCCAGTCGCTCATCTGTCCAATCAGAGGGAGAGATGTGTTTTATGGGGAGCTCCAATCAGGATAAAAGCCATGGCACTGACCCTTATCTCATTTGGCAGATGCCTTAAAACGCCTCTGAAAGCTCAAACTGGGACCAGTGAGGAAGAATGCACCAAGTTTTTGATTGGCCTGTCGGTCACCTTATGTGAGGGGAAAAAAAAAAAAAAAAAGCAGCATCCAAAAAAAGTCATCTGGCCCCCCGCAGTCAGAGTGGAGCTGTGCAGTTTGGTCCCATTGCAACGTGCACCAATTTTGGAGGCAATAAATAATCTATTTAGCTCACAGACACCAAAAACACCCATGTTCCCCTTGTAGGTCATTCATTGTGGTGGCTCATGCTAACACTCAGTGATGGAATTATCATTATTATAATAAAAGAATACTCCATTACATTTACCAGCAAACTATACTTGAGTGTCACTAACACTCATTATAGAGAATGGTCCCTTCCAGAGTGTTATATTGTAATAAATAGCATCCTGTTAGATTATTATTACTGATGCATTAACATGTTAGCAACCGTCTAATGTTGCATCTTGTTAAAGTGGAGCAAATTGTGTCTATTTTATACACTGCTGACTTGTATGATTAACATCATTGTGTTATAACTGATCATATTTTTGGAAGTAAAATCTTTATCTGCAAAGCAGCGCGAACTATAGCTGTTGAATAAATGTATTGGAGTACATTATTTACTTAAAAGCAAGTGATATTTTATGGTACTTTACAAGTATAAAGTAGCATGGAAATGGAAATACTTAGTTACTCTCTTCCACTGCTAATACTTAGGAAGACTATTTACCATTTAGCTTCACAGCTGCTTCAAACTCTTTACAAGCCTCGTATCAACTAACAGGCTTATAACCTACCAGGGATACATGAATGTGTTATTATTCAGGCAACACATACGGTTGCCAGTGGTTCAGCCTCCCCCCAAAAACACAGGCTTTTCTGTCTCCTAACCCACAATCCCACGGGACAGATGATCGGCCAGATTAATTATGTTCTATCTCCGTCCCTCCAGGACCATCGTGTCTCTGATCTACAACGTGCTGAAGACCTTCATGGAGATGAACAGCAAGCTGTTTGATGACCTCACTGCCTCCTACAAAGTGGAGAAACAGAAGTGAGCATGACTCACTCTCTTTGTGTGTGTGTGTGTGTGTGTGTGTGTGTGTGTGTGTGCGTGTGTGTGTGTGTGTGTTTGTGTCACTGGATACAACAGTGACAACAAGAGGAAGAAATAGAAGGTTCTTAAGTCATGGTTGTTTGTTCCATTATCCATCACATTATATTTCTCATTGTAAGCATGTATCGCTTAGGTCATCTTTTGAACACAGACCACATCATGATTCCACTTTATTCATTTCCCCGTTTCAAACTCGAGGTATCGGGTAGTACTGGGGAACGAAATATAAAGGACACGTTCAGCATTTTGAGAAAAAAAAGTTGTATGTGTTTTCTTTCTAAGTGAAATTAGGAGATTCCTATCAGTTTTCGGTGTGTGTGTGTGTGTGTGTGTGTGTATAAAGTATGAAGGTGGAGACAGGATGTGTTCAGCCTAGCTTAGCATAAAGGCTGGGGAAGAAGCTAGCCTCTGATGTGTATACTCAAGTATACAGGTATACAGTATATACCCACCTGTGGGCAGAGGGATTTACCCCATATGTATCCAACAGTGCGATCATGTTACAGTCCTTCATGTATAGTCTGTGGTGTTTACTGTGCACAAGAGACATTTGTTCCCTGACTTTAGCTTTTCATAGGTACATAGGTACCCCAGTAAATCTGGCTCAATATGTCTCAATGTCTCAGGGTGTTGTTCCATGACCCACGAGCTTCAAGTTGACATGAATGCCACTATTTAACTAAAATTGTTAATAAGAAATAACTGTCTGACAGTGATGACAATGTTGTTACGAGCTGAAGGTATCAAAAGTAAAAGTACTTATAATTCAGAAAAAAGCCTCCTGTGAGTGTTACATCACTGCTCCAAAGGCATAATGGTGTCAAACCTGGCAAAGCAGACGCCACTGAGCCCTGCTGTTGTTTGCTAAGAAAAAGTTCCAGCATTTAAAAACTGAAAATTGTCATTTTGACATCTTTCTGTATAGGGAAAAAATAGCAAAAAATGTGCCAAAATGTTAAACCTCTCCTTTTAAAGGAACAGTTTCATGGAATTTAAAGGGCTGTAGTAAGAATCATAACATTTCCATTATTCTACCTTTATCTCTTCTCAAACCATTCTCTTTCTCCTTATCCTCCATTTCTTATTTGAACAGTCTTTACAACCACTACAACTGCTGCTCGACGAGGGCGAGAAATATACATTTTTTTTCCCCACGAGTCATTGGATGCATCATTAGGTTGTTCATCAGGTCTTTCAATCCTTTTCTCTTCATCCCTCTCTCCTTCTCTTCGACCTGCCCCTCCAGGGAGCTGAAGCGAGAGAGGGAGCGTGCAGACCTCTGGCGAGGCCTGGAGGAGCACCAGGAGCGCCGGATGCAGATGCTCACCGAGGCCGCCAGGAACCAGCGCAACCTCCAGGAGCGAGGCGAGAGAGGGGACCCGCCGACCCCTTCGTCCCCGCAGACGGCTCACTCCGACCAGCCCGAGCCCAAACCCAGCGGGGCCTCCTCTGGAGCCGGGGAGAGCGCCACCTAGGTGCCGCTCTGCAGCGATTGAATAACACAGGGGTTAGGGGACAGGGAGAAGACAAGAAGCTGATGGCGAAAGTGTTGGGAGACAGAGAAAGGTACAAAACATCTTCATCTATCTTGTATCATCGAGGAGGGAGCTTTTTATGAAAAAAAAAAATTTGAAAAAAGCGAACAAACTCAGTGATCCAAGATAAAAAAATGTACCTTTTTCCTTACGGAGTTGTGTGAAACTGGTTCACTTTTTGCTGTACACACATTACGTTGCAGATCAGAAGATGAATATCGTCCAAAAGTGCAGACTGGCATTTTAAAGTAAAGGCTGGTTTATTAAACTGCAGGTCAGTACCAAAAATCGGTAGCTGGCCTGCTTCAAACCTGCCTCATAATAAGAGATGAAATTTCTCTTTTGGTGCAACACTAACCGAGTTTAACATGTGTCTAACTTGTCTTAACATTTAACCAACCGAGTCTGTACTGTGCCTCGTATTTATCTTTTGGTCACAGATGCTTATTTCATGCGTGGATAGCACAATACATTAATAAACAAAAGAAGCAATTTCACACAAATGTCCCAAAATTATTGCCACACAGACCAGACCCACAAACCCTCACGCACACACAAAATTACACACACACACACACACACGCACACACACACACACACACACACACACACACACACACAAATCCAGGCACATATTTAGTGTAAATATGAGAAGACAGAGCTACAGAGATTGATCCAGGTCAAACAAATCTCACACACCAACAACCGATTGATGCAGCAAAATATTTCACACAAACCCACACGCCCATACTCGCATATACATACATACATACATACATACATACATACATACATACATATGTATTCACTCACACAGCTGGTTCTGGCGCTAACTCCTCTCCCATTCTGTCGGGTTCCACGAAAGGACGAGCCTAAAGTCCCTCAAGGTTAAATAACCACTGATGAAGATGATAATGATATAAAGTACAATAATGTTCCTTCTTCTTACTTGTTACTCTACTACTACTACTCTACTCTAAGTACTACTGATAATGATGATGATGATAATGTTTTTATATATATACATATGTCTCTGGATATTTCTGTTGTGTATTATGGGAGAAACACTAGTGTAGCAGATACCATAAAGGGGAAGGCCGGCTCGAATTCTGAATTCACATCACATGTTAACTGTATGACGCCATAATGTGAGTGCTGAAATTCAGCGGAATTCCCCTTTAACAGATCTTAAAGAGGGGAAGGAATGAGCCGGATTTGTGGTGGCTGGTTTTCTTTTATTTTGAAATTCTGGATTTTGGTGTCATGGTTGGGTGGACCTTAAAGGGGTACTGTGTAAAAATCCAAAAACATTCCACGTTTAAAGGTCATTACTATGTAATTTTTTAAAATTCTTTTTATTAAAGGTGCACTGTGGAGTTTTCTTGTAAACAAACATTCAGTGTTACATTGTGTGTATCCTTGAGGCCTAACAAATGCGTTGAATGCATTTCCAAAGCAAATTTCCGGCATGCTCCTGTGTGATAGAAACAAAAGGAGGACCCACTCATAACAACACCACTCCATAGCTCCACTAAAAACTCCATAGGGTACCTTTAATTTTGATTTTGAGGCACACAACAAGCCTTTCTTTGATTTTATCAAGTTGAAGTTGAGAGCCCCCCAGCCTACAACCAAAAATGAAACCAAGCTGATCAGTACGCCCACACCCAACACAGAGGTTACCAGAGGATGAATGAAGCGCACCACATGTGTCTCAAACCAAAAGAAAAGCACCACAGTCCAGCTGGATTTCTGAACCCAGAGCGTCTGTTCCTTTAGGCTCAGCAGACCTGACGCTGCTAGATGGCGACCATGACGATGATACATTTTTTTTTCGGTGTGAACCAACAAAAATCTGTTTATTCTTGTCTGATTATTATGATAGAGCGATGGGATAAAGAGAAGGTGAAAAAAAAACAGAAAAAAAAATTATTTTAGCAATATTTTCATTCTTTCAGGATAATCTGTGTGTTTTTAAGGGGGTTAAACAAGAAGTGGGTGTCACACTCAAATGTTTACCCCCCCACTCTTGTTTTTACTCCTGTTGCGTCCTTGATATTCACATTGTCTTAAAGGTACTTTCTGTGTAAATTTATTTGATGAAAAATGATTTTGCTTTGTAATTATGTTGTTTATTTTCTTGGTTTTTGTATGATCTTGTTCATTTTGTGGAAAACTGATACTGATGCTATTTATTTTCTATTTGATCAGGAAATGTAACCTTATTTGAAAATGATGGTCAGGTTGTGCGTGTGTGCATGCGTGCGTGTGTGCGTGCGTGCGTGTGCCTGCGTGCGTGTGTGTGTTGGTGTGCAACCAGTGAGTGAATCAGTGAGCAGGAGATGTGCGTAGATAGAGTGATTGAGAACGAGAGAAAACTATTCTCTCTTTGCTTCTTTTTCTCTCTCTCTCCTTCTCTCCTTCCTGAAGGACAGGGTTTGAATCCGAATGTATCGTAAAACAAATCGATTGTTTTTTTGACGCTTGAGATGCAGAGATACTTGTCGGCTGCTTCGTAACCAAACATTCAGAAACTCTTCAGACCAGCAGTTTTTCAAAACACTCACTTCAAATCACGCCTAAGTCAACAAGGTTTTGAAATCCATTGAACTTGCAGCTCTCAGATTTGGCACTTTAAGTTTCATTGAGTTAATGAGTGTTGTTTATGTTTCAGGCTTGGTGTTCGGGCTGTGGTCACACCTCATCTGTCTCTGCAGCGTTGCATTGCATTTCAATTGCAGGTGTTGAATCCAACATCCAGTTTACGACTTCCAAAACATTTGTCAGTCAGACAAAATATCACGAGAAAGGTCAAGGTTCACTGATCTTTTTCAGAAGTTTACATTCAAATGTCATGGTCTTCATCAGGGGATGGAGCTGCTCGGCTGTCCTGGACATAGCTCAGTGGTCATGTTGTATCTGGTGTTCAGAATGAGACATCTCCATGACAACTGAGCAAACTCCATCTGCTGATGAAGGCTGTGGCATATGATTGAAAGCTAGAAATCGGAGCCTGAGTAAAGATTATTAACACTTATTCTACAGGCTCCTAGCTATTTGACCCCTTCGAACAAAAACAGTGCATTCCAGTTGGGCACTCAACTTCAAAAATACAAAAGAGAAAAACATTTGAGGAAAATCAGGAACATAAATTACTTACTACAATAAAACTGTTTTGTTTTCTTCTCCTTTTAATTAACTTGTGACCCATCAGATTAATCTTATGACACCCTGTCGGGTCCTGACCCCAAGGTTTGGAACCACTGACATATGCCTCTCTTTTCCCAAAGTACCACAGTGCTGTAATTTTTCTCTAGTTGTTTTTTTTTTTCTGCACAGAACAGGAGAGTAGATGTGCAATAATTGGGTATGCATTGATGGATTAGGTGTAATAGTGGCCTCAAAGCAGTGAACACCTCAATACCTTCACCTGCAGACACCATGTGGCTGCAGATCAAAACAAACAAACCTTCCTGTTTAGTTGGATTTCAAACGTTGTTTTGATTCAGGCAAAAAAAAAAAAAAAACATACTCAAAAACACAACCGAAAAGAGACAAAACTTGACCTCGCTGTCATAAAACTCAGCTTTCTTTATGATTTTGTTTTGGCTAGCTTATTCACAAACCCTCTTGATTGTTATTGTCAGTCAGTCAGCTGACTCGGGGAAAAAAGAACCTCAGCTCCCACTGTTCTAGAATTCTCAATGATATCGATCAATAATATTCCTCAGTTCTAGAATCCCGTCATCCGTTCTAGAACTGCTCCGGGAACAGGAAGCGAGGGGAAGAGAGAGTGTTCGTAGAGAGCTCCGGTATCGCCTCACAGACAGCCATCCAGCGCTGCTCTCATTCACCGTCACGTCTCCTCTCTGCGGCCGCTTTCAGCCGAGTTTAAACAAATGCTTTAAATCAGAGTGGAGGTGTGACTGCGATGAAAGCAGCAGGTAAAGATGAAAACAGAGGAGGAGAATGACAGAGGAAAGAAAATACATAGAGTTAGACACGATAGAATGGCAATAAGTCAGAGCAACAGTAACAGAATGAAAATATAATGTTACCGAAACCTACAACCGCATTACGTAGCAATTTCACTGAATTTCTAGATTTGCACTGTCTGCCCAATGGTCTGTGTTTGTTGTGTTGAAGAAAAACCTTAGAGAAGATGATAAAGACGATGCAGAAGAAGAAGATGTATATTTTGGGGACCAACACAGCGGTGGGGGGGGTTTGAATGTAGAGAGGCTTACTACTGTACGTGACATTACAGGGGGGTGTAGAATGGAGAAAAAAAAAAACTATGTGCTAAAAATGAAACTTCACTTTGAGAAACACTCCTGGAGTCTGTGCTGGTTTTTTTTTGTGTGTCATCCTTTTTGTCTCTGTGGCTGAGAATAACTCCAACTCCTCTCACTGATAATTGGTCATCATGAGTCATGATGTTCATAACTTAAAGCTGCAGTAATCAATGTTTTTTATGACTTTCTGTCCTCTTTTAGCTCCTTGTTTTGTCATTAAGCCCCCAGACTGCACTGTTATCACACCACATTTCCGGTTGCAGGCAGCTTTTATCAGCAAAAAAAAGCTCTGATGAACCAACTAGAGCGCCTGCCCAGCACCGAGCTACACGCTGGATAAAGTTAGCAGCTAGCTGGTGACCGTAGTGAAACGTTGGCGGCTAAAGAGCCTGCTATTTCTCTCAGGTGTCGGCCGAGACCAAAACAGAGCTAAAACAAGCGTGAATTTTGGAGTTACTTTCATCAGGTGTCCAGAAACTCAACTCTTCCTGAAAGCTTTGTTGCTGGATGTGTGCACGGTCAACTGTTTGCTTTCATGTTAGCCATATCAACTTTATAAAGAGATGGTATGTAAGTGTGATGTTTTCATCTTGTTTTGCTTCCAAATGGTCGAAAGATGAATTCATGCAGGTTTAATCTCTTAACACATGTATTTTGAAGACTATACAAAAGGGGAACAATACTCACCAAACTGCTTCAAATGCTATGTTTAGTTTTTTTTTTTTTTTTTGAGGCAACCACTGACTTTAATTAATTTCCATATAACTGATTATTGTTGTGTAATCCATCACAATTGGCATCAAACCTGCAAAGTCTGCTCAGAGTGACCGTACTGTTGCTTTGTGACGCAGTTAATCTGCATATTTGGAAGATTTCATTGTATTACAGTATGATGCAGCAATGAATGGAAGAAAACAATGATTGCACTGAAGATTGGCAAAAACATAATAGCAAGGTTTGTTCAATGGTTAGCTGCGATATAGTAGAAGTTCCTTTTAGTAAGTGGGTTAAAACATGCAGAAACACTGGGACTTTAAGAACAAGAATGCCCATGTAACAGGAGAGGAGAGGATCACATCATCTGGTTTATTCCCTTCATTTTGAAATTAACTTTGAAATTATACATATATACAGTACATGGTCAATGTACTGTATATATGTAACTATAGTTTCAAATGTTTTAAATTGTCCAGTAAAAGTTTTTATATTCAAATGACCAATCCTTTGTCAGAATAACTGTCAGATTGAGCACTGACATTGCTGACATCATTGGGAGTAGACTAGTTGGATAAAGAACTACACACACACACACACACACACACACACACACACACACACACTCTCACACTCTCACTCGCACACAGAGAGATACAAGCTGAGGTTAAGAAAACATAGACAAGCATCAGTATTTTCCAGGGAGTATCCATTATTTCGGAATTGGGGTCTCTAATGGTATTTCATTGTAATTGCTATGATGTCAGAGTGTCCGTCCGCCCTAATGGCCTTCTAAAAACAACAACAAGGACAGATTGGTTCCAGTCACTGGTTGTTGTCTGGGTAGAGAGACACAGGAGTCCAGCAGCTCAAATCTCTGCAAGATCTTCAGCTGAAAAGGTGAGAGGTGTTTTTTAAACATCTATTAAGTTAGTCAGGGCGGGTATGTAGCTTTAGACTTTGACTAAAAATTATTTAAAGAGACTTTGAGGTGATTCAGGAACAAAGCATGTACATAATTATGTTAGTGGACTATTTTACATCACAGATAGTGTAGTTTCATAGCCCATAGCCGTTGTACTCCCAGAGAACACACTGTGGCTTTAGTGCTTATGTAAGTATCCCACGTCATGTTTTTATTTCTGTTATATTTCTATAACAAGTGAAACATTCTGTGATTCCAGTTGTTTCAGTACAGTCTAAGAGGGTTTGCTTGAAAAATGTGCAGAATAATTAAGCAGATGTCTCCAGCAGCATCAGGGAAATGACTCTCGATTCTGATTCAAAGAAAAGGAGAGAAACTGCTGCTTTTCATGCGAGTGAAATTAAATAACCGCCACGTCAGATTTGACATTTAACATAGTTCTGCATTGAAATTCTAAATTCATTTGTTTAAATTAAATTAAATTTGCGATTCTATTAAATTTGCCAATGAATACTTTCTGCAGTGCACAGGTCAGTGGTGCTGTCGGCTGCAGTAGCTCAAACAGACACTAGAGGGAGGCGTGAGTTATGCTGAATGTCAGACTGTGTTGGATACTGAGCACTTCCTACAGATGTGAACTGTTGGAAATAAATGACCTATAAGTAAACATTTATCTACTTTAAGAGACCAAATTGAATATTTAAGTGTGTTTTGGTTATTAATACACAGGAACTGAGTTACTTTCAGGCCCAATGATTCATTGATGATAACATTCATTGTCTTTAATAAATAAGACCTTTGTTTCCTCACTAACAATGTTAACGTTTACTGTGTCACACTGAGGCAGGTCACTTGTAGCTGAAGTATAATGGCACATAAAAACTTGAACAATAAAAAGTAAAAGTTACTCTCTTTATTTCACTCTCTGACACCATACCCAGCATGCATCTCCGCCCTCTGTCCCTCTCTTTCTTCCTCCTCCTGGTTGCCAAGGCAGCTGTGGTGTGTGTTACCGTGACAACCACACTCCACGGTTTCCGAGGGTGCGCGGTGCGAGAGTTCTCCTTTGTGGCCCAGAAGCCTGGCTGCAAGGGACTACGCATCACCACCGAGGCCTGCTGGGGGCGCTGCCACACCTGGGAGGTAACGCGCACACACACACACGCTCACACACTCAGTAAAGAGGCATTTCATCTGTTACATTTAGCCGATGAAGGAGACCCACTTTTTTTTTCCCTCTGCTATTTCTGAAAGCTTCCATAATACTGGAATCATGAAAGTTTAAATGAATGATTAATGACCCAGGATTCACTCCAAACCATAAGAAGGCTGATGACCCACTCTCAGCTCTGACCCATATGTCACTGTCATTAAAGATGCTCAAATCCCTCCAAGTTGGGTGGGTTAGTGAACTTTTACTGAACTTGTTCTACTTCGCAGAGATTCAAATTTTTTACCTCAGAGTGATTGAAAAACCAAGTTTAGTGGGTCAGGAACTCAGAGAATCAGAGCTCCTTCTCCTCTAAAGACTTTGACAGGAGAGATCACTCAGTCACATGGCAGGAGGTCAAACGACTGATCAAACAAAACAAACAAAACCCCCAACCCTCTCAAGGTACACTTACTACTCTTTTTTCCAGGGCTTTTTCTACTGCATCTCATGGTCTTTGCACGATAGTAAAAGAAAATCTTAAGTCATGCTCCACTCATTACCTTTCTTTCCTGAGCCTTTAACTGCATCACACAGTCTGCCATGGTGGATAGAGTTTGCTCATTTAACAAAAAATGAAAACTCAAGGCCCACTGGCTAATTCCTCCTGCGGCTTTCAACCACATCTCATAATCTTCCTCAGAAGAGAGTGCTCTGGCAGTGAAAGCTCAGGGGAAAGTCAGTACGTGGACCTTGAGTTAATATTTTCAGAAAATGTCATGCTCAAATTTAATCAACACATGCTCACAAAATGTGGACAAATGGTCTGAGAAGCAACTTTGTTCTTTTTTTTATCACAAAGAGAAAGAGAGACTTTGATAAGAACAGTTTGTGAGAGTTAGATGCTGCGCTGTTTCTGCCGTTAACAATGTCAGTGCAACCTGAGTGGTTACACTCAGGTTGCACTCCTCCACCACATTAAGCGTGCCATCAGCTGCTGTGATCCCACAGACTTCTTTTAGTTTATTACCTTCAAAGTTTTAAGCGTGATGTCAGCTAGGAAAGAAAAGAGGAGCATTATTCAGTCTGTGATCGGACTTTTCTTGCCTGAGAGCTTAAATCCATTTGGCGCGTTTTAAAAGACACATGTAGCTTTTTATCTGCTTCTTTTATTTTATTTTCTCAGTCTTAGACTTTCTGTGTGCTGACACTGTAACACAAATATCAGAAACGTTGTTGCATTCACTGACAAAAGTTTTTGTTGGTAAATTGGAAAGAAGTTCTAGTCAAAGGTCATACCTGTAACCAGTGTTGCGTGTGTGTGTGTGTATGTGTGTGTGTGTGTGTGTGTGTGTGTGTGTGTGTGTGTGTGTGTGTGTGTGTGTGAACCCTGCAGAAACCAGTGCCGGATCCCCCCTACATCCAGCGACACCACCGTGTGTGTACGTACAGCCGTACCCGCCACATGACCGCCCGGCTGCCGGGCTGCCAGCCCAATGTGTCCCCTCTCTACCACTATCCCATGGCCCTGCACTGCCACTGTGCCATCTGCTCCACACAGGACACAGAGTGTGAGACCTTCTGAGGGACAGAGCAGCACTTTCAGCAGACAGTGTTAAAGTGTGTCACTGACATGAATGACACAGGTTAAAAAGATGGAATCAAGGTATTTGAGGAGGTGGGGGACTTCCTGAGGGGTTATGACAGCGAGACGTGTTAGCAAGAAGATTATTTAGAAAAGGCCTTGGATGAAGGATACTTGACTAAAAGTTATCCCCCCTGTAGACTGAAGAACATGTGTGTGTGTCAATATACAGCATATGTCTGTAGGAAAGGAGAAATGAATGAAATAAAAATAAGGATCAGAATATTAGAATAAGACTTCTGTGATTCTTTTGCCTTTGTAATGTTAACACTGAATTTAAAAACATTTAGAGACATATGTGTAAAACTATTATTATTATTATGTATATCAACTGTAGCTTTGATTATAATCTAAAATCAGAAAGGTTAGTGTTACATACATTCTGAGTTTCAACTATTTGTACTGTATCTGCTTAACATGGCCAAATTACCAACAGCTGCCTGGGGCCCCAGGCCCTCATATTCACCAAAACATTACAATTTCAACTGAATTTGAAATGACAAATGGCCCTTTTTTAATCGAGTCCTGTATTAATCTTAAGGCTCAAAGCTTTACTGTGACACAAAATTAATACTATATAATAGTGGCATAAGTTTATATTGTCCTCACATAATGCAAATTACTTTGAAAAATCTGTGTAATTTGTGTACTTGAAGATGACGGGGCACATACACAATATTATTCACAGAAAAATGCTAGTCGTGGTCAACTGGGACCCACAGCTTATTTGTGGCCCAGCAGGGCCGTGCTGTGTATCATCCACTGTGTGTTGAAACTAACACACGGTATTTGACTCTATCCATTCTCATCAGACTGTGAAAAAGTAATAACTGATAACTGCTCATTGCTAGCCAGCAGAGGATGCTTGACAAATCCTCCACCAGCAGTACACACACTGTGTGTGTGTGTGTGTGTGTGTGTGTGTGTGTGTGTGTGTGTGTGTGTGTGTGTGTGTGTGTGTGTGTGTGTGTACTGCTGTTGTAAGTAATGTCAGTGACACTGCAGGGACTCTCCTCCCTTTTGGGGACAAAATTCAAGTCGCCACAATGTAAGTTATAAGATTTAAGGCTTTAAATGGGTTTAAGGTTCATGTTTGTCATGTGTGTGCAGTGAGAAGTAAAGGAAAGGCCCACACAAACCACTAACAGCTGCAGATCAGAAATTTATTGAAACACAATTTCATCACAAACTGTACAGTGCATTCTTTCTCTTTTCATTTCATTGATATTGAACATTCTTTGGTTTTATCAATAGATATTATTTACAAAATGTCTTTCAGTTCAAATTCATAAATATAAATAAAATTTGTACATTCTTTAGTCTCTTGTCTGTGATTAGTGGTTATTGCAAAGAATGAAACTATTTATTTGTATGACCTTTATGTTGATTCCAAATGTTGACAATATATTGACTTTTCTGTTTAATATGAGTCAATGAAGAGATGACTGAACTGTATTATTCTCGTTCATTTTGATGTATTTCAAAGTATAGAAGAAAAGGTGAAACCAGTGAGTTTGATTATAAGTCTCTGTTGCTACTGAGTCACTAAGTGTGTTTTTATTTCTAGCTGCTTACAGTAAATCAAATGTTTGCCAAGCCTCGAAGCAAAATATAGAAAAGGTTCAGTTTGTGTGACAGAATGGTTTATACTGCCTTTAACACAAATGCGTGTCAATCAAGTTTTCTAGAAGAGCAACCCTTACGCCACATTTTACACAAGCACACACAAGGAAACATGCAAACATACACACACACACACAGACAGACAGACACGCAAAGACGCACACAATTGCGCAAACAGCACGTCTTTGTGCACATCCAATAGTTTGAATTTTGCATTTCAATTTTAAAGTACCGCGTGTCGGGTCCAGAGCTAATTTCACTCTGCCTGAAGGAAGTTCACTTGGTTTTAGTAGAAAATTTCAGTCACATTATTTAATTAGTCCTACAGAGATGTTTCTATCTTTCCATCATTTTCTCTAAAGCTTCTTTTCATTCTTAAAGAAAACAAATGAAGGACTCCCTGGTTTTGACAGGAGCATGGTGGGAAGGCCAATTTGTTTTCAATCAAATAAGTTCAAGTGAATTTTTCCTCAACATTCAAAACAGGTCGACAAACTGCAGATAGAAAAAGTAGATAGTTACTGGTGCATCAATGAAACTCTTGTATTTCTGTCATTTAAACTGTAGTTTGGTTCTTATCCCGGTCAACAGTTGCCACACAGCTTTACTGTGCTGATGTGTCAGTAGCGGGACTTGCGGCACATGTCGCAGCGACACGCCTTTGCCGTCAGGATCTCGATTTCGTCATGGTGACGGCCACGAGGGCAGTCCAGGCGAACTTTGACCTGAGGGGACACAAGATGCACGCGAACGTGAACAAAAACAAATAGAAACTGAATGCTGTAGTTCATGCGCAGCAGCCTCCCTCCGCTCCTCACCTTGGCGTCCTTGCTGATGGTGCAGCATTGTGAGGCGGAGGTGATGTTGTGGGTGAAGTTGGAGGCCACCAGGACGGAGTATCTGGACGGGAAGGCGCTGGACTCGCAGTAGCCCACGCAGGCGTAGACCAGATGGGTGCCTTTACACGTGCTGCGGCGGTCACTGCGGATGGTCACGTTGAAGGCTGGAGATGAGGGAAACGACAGAGGGATGAGCGAGGGTGGATGAGTGGAACATCACTGTCGTCATTTCTCACACATCCTTTCATATAAACAGCAGCATCAAGGTTATTAGTCCCAACCGGAAGAACTGGTGAAGATACTGTTCTCAAGACCACATTACCCATAAAGCCTGTTTCTTTCCTGCCAATGGGGGACACTGTGAGTGATTTTTAAAACTGTGCACTGTGCATGTGTAACTCACGGTAAAGGTGACAGCCAGGGGTGAGGCCTTCGTAGCTCCATCCAATTGGAGAGAGGAGCAGCAGCAGCGACATCACTGGTAGGACCAGCAGACAGAGGTGCGAGGTCATGCGCAGAGACATCTGGACGGCAGCCTGGAGGGGTCTAAACAGAAAACACACAAACCAAACGCCTCGTTAGACTTTGAAAAAATGAAAATCATTTTCGGTTTAACTGCTGTCATACGTTCATGGACATATACAGCCTGTGATGAATGGTTCAAGGTTGTAGATCCAAACTCATGTCTCAACCTGGGGTGATCACCTGCTGCTGTGTTGCCCAGAGCCCCCTCCTTTATCCACGCAAGGTGATTTCCCATCCTGCAGGTCTGCCTGTGTGTCACTCAGTTGAGTAAGAACGAATGTGAATAAAAACAATACCGTCTTTACCTTCTCAATCTGCCTCATTTAACAGCTACCTGCTGACACACGTATGTACACAATTTTAGCTCTGACTCGTATGAATGTACACGTAGCTGTGCACATGAGAAAACTCCCACAATCAGTGTATCACCATGAATAAAAGTCTTAGAATAGAGACGGTGTGAAGGATCCTGTGTGTGTCTGTGTTTTCCACATGATCATGTTTATATGTCCTACGTGCACACATGCAGGCATGGGTGTTCATGCATGCACGTGCTCACGTGCCCCCCCCCCATACACACACACACACACTCACACTCCAACACGTGTGTCAACAATAAAGTCATATTTTCCTGGGAATTTGGGGATCCTGACCCTTGCCCTCTAAATTGGCGGCTCTTTCCATCTCCGTTTCCCTCCGGCGGGAGTGCTGGGACTCGCCGTTGTGGTGATGGTGGAAGAGCCCTGGGGACGCCATTAACGCTGCTAGTACGAGCAAATTAACGGGTCAGGACTGTGTGTGTGTGTGTGTGCGTGAGGCCATTAACCCCCCGTGTCAGCTAGTGGGGCAGGGGAAATGCCCGGCTTTTTCCTCTCATGTGGGGTTTCCACGCCTGAAGGTTTGGTTTGTCTTTGAGGAGAGTGGGTTGTAATTCACTACACGCCACTTTGGGAGGTGACAGTGGGAGGGCTGGCGTTCAAGACCACCAAAACAGCCTACAGAATATGTACACCCTGGAAAAGTTAAGACCCTTCAAGTGCTTGTAACAAAAATCTGTACACACACACAAACGCATTCTCAAAATCCTGTTGTCAGTGCTGCCTGTTCATCATTTAAAGAGTGTGTAATAAGATATTATGACACAAAGTCAACACACTGGCCATCCTCACATCAGTGTCACGAGCTGGCGCTTAAAGATTTGGGATCATGCATCTTTTGAACCATTCAAAACTGCTAAAAGATCTTTATTTAAAACTACCTCCAAACATGAAAAAAACATCGTACACCCTTTCTAAAACTCCAAATCATCCTCCATTGTCTTAAATTCAACTGACATTGTTTGAATAATTCAGGTACTGACCTGGAAGTTGCAGCAGACCAGTTTATCTTATATAATACAAACAATAAAACTTAAAATTGATGTTATATAATTGCTGTTTGGACTCTCCGCATCAAGTGCAAGCATCCTTTTTGCATTAAATAAATAAAGCCTTAACAGAGGAAAATACATTATAAAAAGACCAAAGAAGAAGTTGATGCATTTTGTCTTGTCTGATATATTTAAACATATATTCTGAAAGTTTTTATTCTTAGTTTTACAAAAAAACCTCATTAAAGTAAGAAAGAAATGTGTTATTTTAAAATAGAACCCTCTAAACCCTGAAAAACTCTCTCCACAAACTGCAACATTTTACTATCAACAGTTAACAAATGTGTTGTCTTTGTGCAGCTGATAAAAAAGCATACAAGTCTGCAGAATTACAATGCAAAGACGTGTGAAATACTCCCTCAAATCCTCAACATTTCAACTTAATCTGACTTGTGCAATTTTTTTTTTTAAAATGCAAAAAAAAACATCCCCTTAAATCTGTAAGAAAGCAACAATCCTGCAGACAAATCACAGACTTTTAAGGTCTATTCCACCAACTGAAGTTTAATCCAGCTGTAAAAGTGAGCTGGGTCTTACCTGAAGACGTAGAGTGGAGAGTGCAGCTTCTGGAGTGCAGGGCAGGTGTGTGGACTGACAGGTGTGTGTGAGTGTGTCTCCTCTGAGCCTCATGCAGGGCTATAAGTAACACAGGTAAGGCACTTATAGCTCTGGACACACCCACAATCAGAGAGCTGAGTATCTGAATCTTTTTTTTTTTTTTTTTTTTTCAACAGGTTCCTCTTTGTCTTCTTCTCCACTCCTTCTACCTGTGCAACAAAACACGTGAAATTCTCCAGAAATATTCAAATGGCCTGAAACTTCTTTGTACTTTCCCCTGGACTGTGTTCACATCTCTGCCTCCCTCCACCCTCCCCATCCATCCTCGCGCTCTGTTTTAAACCTTCAGGGGGACCGCTGCTGTGACACAGAGGAAAACTAGATAGGTTTTCCATCAACACACCGCCACAATAGTAAGAACACACACAGCTTTACCTCACACGCATGCACGTGCATGGAGACGCACACATGTTTGCATAAAAGCACACATGCACGCACACAAACTAATATTCTAGGCCTCGGCTGCCAGTTGATACACACTACAAGTTAACTAATAAACTAAACTGAATGGGAGACCTCACACACACACACACACACGGACGGACACACACACACACGCACACGCACACGCACACACACACACACACACACACACACACACACACACACACACACACACGCAAACACACATACAAAGTCTGCCTGGGTTTTCCATTTGTGGCTGCAGGAGGAAGGGCAGGGTCGGGTCAGAAGATATTGTAGGTCTTGGTGTGTGTGTGTGTGTGTGTGTTGTGTGTGCTGGCACATGGTGGGTATATTTGGGGAACGCCTGGCTCTGCTTCTCCTCTTCTTTGTCTTGAACAGAGGATGTCAGCTTAGCAACCGCCCTCTCCAAACTGCAGCGGGTAAAGACATTCTTTTAATTCGATTATTTGTTGCCGCAGTATCTGTAAGCTTCAGTGACGCGTCTCGAGGGTCAGATCAGACCACTGATGAGTGTCTCTGTCACTCCTCATATGTTTTACTTCTTTAAAAGTGTTGCCAAAGACCCAAAATGGGTTTCCTTTGTTCTCGTTTGGTGGGTCTCCACATGAAACTGGGTGAAGGAACAAATGTCTTAGTTGCTGGAGCAGCTATCCAGCCATCAGAGGAGGGGGGGGGGGCTCTATATAAAGTTCCTCCCCTTAGGTTACTTTTTGGCTTTTTCCATGTCTTCCTAAAGAGTTTGGGCTATGTTGGGAGTCACTGCTGTTGTGGGCCTGCAGAGCCCACTGAGACGCTGAAGCCCACTGACACTGGGCCATTAAAATAAACGACCTAACTCTCTGTCTTTCACAGAACTTATTAATCAAAACTGATTCAAGAAGTCAAGAAACTCATTAAACGATACGATCACAATCGACAAAACAGCTGGAGGTGAACCAGAGCACATGATTCAAACTCACTTTGTTTCATCCTCAGCTACTTTGGTTTGGACTCCAGATGCAGTAATCCTCGTTTCAGTGGATGTTTTTCTATTTGTCCTCTATCCTGAATCAAACTCAGCAGGTCTTCATGGGCCAGCACAAGACCGTTCCTGCAGAAATCAAATCATTTCTCTGTATTTGACTAAAAAATCTTGTTAAAATGTAAGTGCAGAAATCTGCTTGGGAAGTGAAATATGTTGAGCTGTTTCCACAATAACTCTCTACAAATGAGTGTCTGTCTTTTGAAACAGGAAAAAAAAAGGTAGGTCACTGCAGTAGACTCAAATAAAAATCGTCTTGACTTTTGGAGATTCTTGAGATAAGTTGATTTGATTTGTAAAAAGGTGGAATAGTCTAATTATTCAGGCAGCTTTTTTTCACTTCAGATTTGAAGACTCAGTTACAGTTACAGACTTATTGTCAACAAATTCCACAAAACACACAATGAATTCCTCTAATTCACTATTAATCCTGTCTGTGTAGTCAGAGCTTCATATAGATTCAACCTCTGTGTCAGAGCTCCACAGCTATTAAAAACACATCAGAGAGCCACACTGTTACACTGGGTGACATGTTCCTTCATTACCATTAACACACACTGTATAGTTTATTTTGACTGAATACACCTCTTTGCTGATGTATACTCATTAGAGCACCAAATGTGTATTAATCCACAGCTGAAAATAGTCCCCAACAAATGGACAGTTCACTTGTGTTTGAGTAACGTCTGCTAAAATCCACAGTGTCTAGCCATTTTGGGAAATAACTGAGCCTTTATTCAACCATATAGATGTATTTGGGAGCATTTTCAGCAGGCTTCCAGTGCTGCACATTCATTCATACCCACACTCTCTCTCTCTCTTGCTCTCAAACACACACACACACACACCTTCTAACGAAAACACAATTATCATCTTACGGCCCCTCTACCCCAAACATTCCCAATCCAGTTGTGTCAATGGAAAACGGAATGTGTGACATCATCAGCTAAACCCCCCCACCTACACACACACAAATACACAAAACTATTAGTGTGTTGACTGTAAGTTGCATGGAAGGCCGCAGTGTGTGTTTCCTCTGATTCCATGCCAACCAGAGAGAGAGAGAGAGAGGTAAAGATACTATACATCTGAATGGGCCACAGCACCTCATCGGGAGAGAGAGACATGAATGAACTTTGTTAAACTGGAGACTCTCTTGTAGTAGAAATACACACACACACACACACACACACACACACACACATTACTGCAGTGTGACTCAGCGGGGTGACTGATGTTTGTATCGCTCAGTGGCCCCGTCGCTCTCGGCTGCCGTGGAAACTGTGGCGTCTTGAATAACTATAATATCATTAATGTGTCCGCTTCCACTTCTGCCCTGTTATTCTAATCCCAGTGTGTGTGTGTACGTACATCTGTGTGTGTGTGTGTGTGTGTGTGTGTGTGTGTGTGAGAGAGAGAATGAAAGTATATGAAGAATGTGTCTCTCTGTATAGTAGTGTATGATGTGTGTTTGAGTTCAAAATTAGGGATGGCACAACTGTGTGTGTCTGTTATTTCAAATGCTGTGTGTATCATTATGTCTGACAGGATATTGTGTGTGTGGTCAGAGTGTGTAAGTAGATGTGAGTGTATGATAAATGATGTGTGTGTTATTTTGGGTTCTATGACAATGTAAGGAGAGGATTAGGCAAAGTTTTCCTGTTTCTAGGATGATGTTTGAGTCCAGTTGACCCATTTACCCCCATATACAAACACATGCATGAAAGCATGGACACGTGCATGCAGGCACACGCACACACGCTGTACGTACATCTTTTTCTTCAAGTTAATCAAACACATCATTTAATTTTTTTGTTTTACGTATGTTTTTTTTTTATATTTGTGAAAGGTAACAGACATCCCGTTTAAAAATGTGCATTTGTGTGCATTTAAAGTCAGTCAGTCAGTCAATTCATAAGACTCGAGATGCGCACGTACACACACACACACACACACACACACACACACACACACACACACACACAACACTTAGCTAATTTAGACTGACAGGAGGAAAGTGGAGTTTCCACAAGGTGATAGTCACTGAAGCTCAAGGTGTGAGGACACACAGTGGGCACACACACACACACACACACACACACACACACACACGCTTGCAAAGGAGTGGAAATATTAAGAAAGAGTTGCCATTGTCTACAACAATTACCAGAATAAAGCCTGGGAATGTGTTCTTGTGAACTCTGACAGTCTCCACATGGGGATGTCGCCATTTCAGTTTAACTGAGCTTATTCACATTTACATTATAATTATGAATGTAAAAAAAAAAAAGTGTGAAAGAAAAGTGAGAGAAGACGGGCACACAAATCATGTAAGTAGCAGATTTTACGAGAAGCTGTTGCTGCTGTTGTGTTGTTAGTATGAAAAAGAATGATACAAAAAATTACAAAAAATCAATCAAAGAGCTGCTGCTCTGCACTGCAAAAATTCTGATTTTATAACCACGATGTTGTCTAACAAAATCAAAATCACATCAATATCCAAACACATAAATTGAAGATAAAGTCTGTGCAGTGGTGTCTGCTATATTTACTGATGACAGAAGCGACAGAATATCTTTTTTATTTTGTCTCTCACACAGCGCACAGCCTCCGTCTGGGTAACAAACAGCAGTTCTGCCTCTGCCACTCACTGAACAGAGTAGACACAGAGAGAGGTGTGCCTGTTGCTCATGGGACAATGCTGGCAACTCTCTTTTATGGAAAGTAGCTACAGTTTGTCCACTGCAGGCTGGAAACATCCTCCTGATAGAGACTGTTTGCATCAATTCATCTTGACAGAGCAAAGGCCAATGGGGAAACTTGACTCAGTAATGTGGCATTTGGCTGACCAGTGTTGTAACTCACTCACTCACTCACTCACTCACTCACTCACTCACTCACTCACTCACTCACTCACTCACTCACTCACTCACTCACGGACATTCGGCATGAAAGGAAAAGAAACAATGGGGGAAGAAAATTTATTTATTAAGCTACAACAAAAAGATGCTGTAAAAAAGATTCTCCATCTCTGTAGCAATAGTTCCTATTTTAGAACAAATCAGTGTAATGGGAAAAATCCGACGAGTGTGATCAGAGTACAACAAGAAACCTTAGGGATATAGAAAAACCTCTACTGACAGACAATCAGTCGTGGATGAAGAAAACTAACAAATCTATAAAATTTTGTTCCTGGAGAAATCAAAACACATGTTTATGCTCAGAGAAGAAACCAAACAAACCCCAGTGAGGCTTCACCACTGGAACCAGTGAGACCCTCCTGTCTCTCTGACACAACTCTCAGGGGTCTCTGAAGAACAAGGAGAAGGGGAAGATATAGCTGCAAAGAGAGAGACAGAGAAACTTTAAAAGTCTGTTGCAGTCGCACATGATTACTGCAGCTCTGTGCTCCTTGGTCTCATTCCATAAAACTGCTACTGTAAATCATTGTTACCATAATAAGACTACATTTGTAAGATTGTTTGACATGTTCCTTCAATGTTGAGTTACTTTTGTCAGTCTTTGTTTTGCCTGAGGACGTCTGGTGTCTCAGCTTGTCTGAACAGACATTTCACAGGAATATTGTAATCTTTGTGCACATATTAGCTGGGTTTCCCCAATCCTTTATCATCTTTGGCAACTTTTTTTTCTTGCAGATTTGCAGCACTAATGAGCTCTTGTTGTTTCTCCTGTGGGTGTAAAAGTCAATTAAATCTACAGATAAGATGATGACATCTCAAACACCTCCACAGGTCTGAGTCTTACCCCTGCTGTGTGCAGGTTTACTCATCTGCTTTATGTTTGTAGCATGAAAGTGAAATATTATTTACCGGTGGTGAGGACCAGTATACCTGCTCACTGCTCACTGTGCTGTCATACTGACCTGGCCAGTCGAGTCAGAATCCCAGACCTCCTTGGGTCTGCATTTTCTCCCTCCTCCTCTCTCATGTCCTGTGATGTCCCAGGCTGCACTTCACCTGGAGTCCCACTTCCTCTGATCATGTCAACACCTGATTTCAGCTGGGGTTTGTCAAACCCCTCCGTCCCTTTCTGTTGAAGAGAGTTAAAAGAAATCAAATGATGACAGAGCAACGCCTGGTTAACTAGCTAACTAACTGCGGTAGAAACCTAGCTTTACATCCAAAGCAAAGAGTTGTCATATCATTAATTAACTGTATTATTATGTGGGGCCACAGGTTTCCATAGAAAAAGACATGACACTTCTACTTCATGGAAGCCGGTGACGCACCAGTCCTGGATGCCTCTTTTCAGTTTAGGCTAACATTAGCGACTCTGTCCTGCTTTGTATTGGTTTCGGGACATTTACCACTAAGCTTATCAATTTTTCCTCGTCCTCCAAGTTTATCCAAGTAACTCTTTTATGGGTTTCTAATCTATAATAATCTATAATGAACATCTAAATGACATTTTGCTTGAGAGAAAAACATCTGATATTACATATTTCTTATTCTGTCCTATAATAGTAGGGTTAAGTAACCCTACAGCAAAATACAAAAACAATGCTGCTCCTCTGCATATTTATCATTGATCATCAACTTGCATGGATGCTGACTTTTTACTTGGGACCAGTAAGCTTTAGGGTTGTAGAAATGAAATGCATATGTAAGACCTTTTTTTTTGCATATGAGCTAGCTAAAAACAAGAACTTTTCTGTTCTGAGTTTTTATCCAATTCGCAGAGTTAGCTAGCTTGCTTATAGCTTACTTTACTTAATTTATAAAAATGTATACAATTTTTCTCCTGAACTTGTTTGTGCAAGAATGATATTCTCTTAAAAATCACCTTGAGATCACTGCAATATTCAAACGTAATCCTTTTTAAAGCTTTGTAGACTTGTATTGACACTTCCTTCTCAGTGTAGAAAAGAAAAGAAATAACTCAATGGGCTGACATAATTAGTTTAAATCATTTTTTCCACTTGAAACGTGTGTGTGTGTGGGGGGGGGGGGGGCAAAGCTAGAGACGGTGGAAAGAAATGTCAGAGTGGACAAGTGTTAAAAAAATGGATGAGATGAGATGAAGGACCATGGACAAGAAGAGAGAGAGGGGGAAGAGACTTGCTGAAGCGCATCAGCAGAAACACACACACTCTCTATCACTCACACACACACACACACACACACACACACACACACACACACACACACACACACACACACACACACACACACACAAACGTACACTTTCTGTCTGACTCTTTGTCTGATGTAATGCTATTATTAACCTTAATCACACTTGTTATCCTACCTGTCTGCACTAATGTTAGCCTGGGGCTGCAATAAAGGCAGAGATGCTACAAGTGTGCGTCTGTGTGTGTGTGTGTGTGTGTGTGTGTGTGTGTGTGTGTGTGTGTGTGTGTGTGTGTGTGTGTGTGTGTGTGTTAGTACATGTGATAGAAGGGAAACGAAAGGGTGTTAGGAGATTGAAAGTGGAAGATGACTTGTTGGATTCAATTAATTGGAAAGAACTGTGGGCTGAAATCTTCATTTGACATTTGAGGGAGTGACAAACCAGTTAACCAGTTAAATGTTATGAGTAAAAGACTGACGTGAATGAGCAAGTATCACCTTGTCAGCAAGTCCAGGATCGTCTTTGACCTCTCCCTCAGCATGTGGATTGTCCATGTGCAGCCTGCTGAAAGTTGGACATGACCAAGTTGCATTAACAGAACAATTACTTTTGCATTGAATTGAACAATTTTCCTTGAAAATAATGTTCTGTAGTAATCATCAGAGAACCTATATAACCTAAAATAACCTAAAGTCCTATTTATCCTGCTTCTTGGACTTAGACAGCATTTACACTACTCTCTATATCAGAATTGTAATATAAAAGATTATACAAGGATATAATGATATGGTATCAAAATCAAAACTTGTCTGTCAATGTCTTTTTTATATTCAAGTTGGTGGGTGTCGTGCATCATAGTGCATGGCCTTTAGCTACATGCTGGTAAACTAAAATGCCTGATTTTGCAGGCACCACCAACGATTCTCATTGCTGACAAGTGTAAGTGCATGACTGTGACAACAGTTCAACTTTTTACTTTACTCTTTGATATTTTTTGGTACAAGAATTGTATGAAGATATGCACCCTATGGAATGCATTACAATACATACATTTAGCTGACACTGTCCAAAGTGACTTATCAGAGGTGCATTCAGCCACCACAGCTGCAAGAGCTACATGTTGTCAAAAATATTGACAATCTGACAGTGCTGACAGACAGATGGAACTGCATATACCAGTGACTTAGATATTATTTCTTTCAACTGACTCGAATGCAATAATCTACATCAGGTCAGGGTATGAGAAGAGGGGGAACTGCCGACTGGTTAATTAGTTGTCAAAAATGCCTTTGAGAACATTGAAACTGTGACTCAGCTGTGCTTCTACAACCCAAGACTGCTTAAAACACATGCACTTACTTAGTTGGAGCATTAAAAAAAATCAGTGTAATGATTCATGTATTTTGTTGAAACTGACCAAACCACATCTCCCACGCCTGACCTATGGCTGCAGAGAGCCAGAAACAGGCTACAGCCCTCAGAGCTTCAGCTCCAAAAACCTACAATGAATGGTGTGCTGGACCATAAGGCTGAAGACCTGTGAGAGGGAGAAGGAGGCCCTTTACACCACTGAACGAAACGCTCCACAGAAAAGGGCCCTGCCAAGGCTGCAGACCAGAAGGGAATCAATCTGTAGCTTTGAAAGCCTGCCTGAAAGTAGGGAAAGTTACAGAAAACTCTCATAAAGGAGAGAGAAAAAGCCTTGAGGTCAGTGGAGACATTTTTGGCTCAGCAGGAGGCAAAAGCACAGAGTGAGGGCTGGCCAAAGAAGCACCTGCCTCCTCAGGGCTCTTCATGACAGCCAGCACACCAGAATGGACCAAGAGCAGGACTAACATGTGGGCAAGATTTCTCTTCTGGAGAAGAAGCCCAGAAGGTTGAGTTCTGCTGAGAAGAAGTTGTCAATTTTCATCAAGCAAAGGAACTGAGCATACAACCATTTCCAACTAACCTCCCTCTACAACCTTACCAATCAACAGCCCTTCAAAATTCCTTTAACTTGAAATTTCCATCCATATTTAAAATTATGTATTACCTTTACATTTTGTTATTAACTGCATATTCAATGACAGTGAAAAGCGAGCAGAACAGAGAAAGAACAAAAAGCTGTTTCTTTTTGTCCGTCTTACGTCCACACTTGTTTTTTTTGTGACTCGTTCTTTTCTGTTCCCATTTTTCCAGCAGGTTTAACACAAAAACAAACCATCTGTCTCTCCCGGGCATCATGTAGACACATACACACACACACACACACACACACGTACACACACAGTCACAGTCACAGTCACAGTCATTGTGGTTCAGGAACTTGGTTTCTGAACTCATACCACTGCGTGTTGATCTGTAGCACCTTTGTAAGGACATGTTAATGTAATGGTCAATGTGGTGAATGTAATCCAATGAGAACTGCTCAGTGAAACTTGATTTCCTGTGAACTAATGATGCTCGAGGCCCTGCTTTTTTCGGGATGTTTACTCAGTTTGTGCATTTGAGTGTGTGTGTTCCCCAAGCTTTAAATAAAGGAGACAATTCTGTTTATGTAAGTTAAATACAAACTAAGTGGAAGACAAGTTTCTGTATGTGTGTGTGTGTGTGGGACTGTGAGTGTGTGTGTGTGTGCATTTTAAATAATAATTTTCGCCCTACTGATCTGACTGTCAGAGTGATTGAGGTGGCGCCCGTTTTCCTCTTGTCTGTTTCATAACTGAAAGAGTCACTGGGGCGTGTGTGTGTGTGTGTGTGTGAATCAGATGGGTTGTCAGAATGGATTGTTTAGTGGTTTTAGGGACAAGAACACTTATTTTCATCTCTACAAAATGTGTGTACAGGTGTGTGTGCGAACGTGCATGATGCCAGTGTGAACAAGCTTCCTCTACTTTCTCCCATCACCTTAAGTGACACATCAACACCCTTACAACAATACCTGCTGTTCACACTGAAGAGGAATATAAAAAAAAGCAATGACAGCTGCCTACCTATGTCAATACACAGTACATTACACACTGTATCATCCGTGGTGATGATATGATGATACAAAGACACTGTTTCTGTCATTCATGCTGAGGGAGGCAGTTTTGTGGCTCCTACACTTATTGCAGCCTGTCTACAGACTTCAATTAGCAGCCTCTCTGTTGTGTTGAACGTTGTACTTGAGAATATAAATGTGGGTGATATGGATAAAATCCAAAATTCTATCATGGTACACGTAAAATCATATTGCTGTGTCGATATATATAATGATATTACACATTTTCAGGAAAATCAATACAGTAATTGACAAAATAGTCTGTTTTAGAAGTTTTCTAATTTAAAAATCACACAAAAATCAAATACAGTCATAAAGCAGTCCCACGATGTGCTGACACCCCCAGATATAAAACGGATACCTACCACACTATAGAGTATAAAAAAATCTCTGAAGGTTGACAAACTTGTATCATCTCATGGTCACATTAAACAACGCTAGTATAGAGATGAGTATATTAGTATGTGACATAATCTTGAAGCAGTTGAAAACATTTTTATTCAGACTGGCTTTTGGTTATTCTGTCTGAATACGTCCTCCTTTTTTTTTATTGCTTTTTATTTATTGTATTGCTTTTTATTGTCCTATTACTTCGACTTGAACTTTTGTACTTTTTAATGACGTAAAGCACCTTTGTGCTTTTTTTTTGCCTGTAAAAGGTGCTATATAAATAATCTTTACTTACTTACTCAATATATTAACTCATACCTATCATAAGCATTTTAAGAGGTACACACTTGCAAACACAATCACAAAGTATTAACACAGGGTGGATATTTTTTGACTAAACATTAGAGTTTTGCTTCACTGTGCAGCTCTGAAACTGCAATAAAGTTTTTTGGGAAATATAAAACCTGCCACAGGAAGATTTTGTTTGATTTAAATTTACTCAGTATATGTGTTTGCAAGCAGATTTGTGGTTTCATGGAACATTACAAGAACCAAAAAATGTTCTCTTAAAGTTAATGAGACAAAAACAGAGAAAATGTAGGTGAATGCTATCAGCTCTACAGTCGTACAGAGAGCACTCACCACGCCATTGAAACCTTGTTTTCAGCCTCCAAGTCCATCATCAAGTCCTTTAGTATGGCCTCCTCTAGTGGTGAATCTGTCTTAAAGCGCTTTGACTGGGGCTCAGAATCAGAGGAGTGCTGCACTCTCTCTTTCTCCTGAGAACAAACACTATGGTCATTTCTTTAGTCCTAGTGTCTGCTTATATTATATTACACTGTATTATATTGTAGGGTATACATTGCATTTTAGATATACATACAGAAGTGGACATATAGAGCTGTGGTAAAATATCAAGTACACCATACAATATGATGCAATGCAATACAAGTAGACACACTACAGTCTATGTGACAAGATATCAAGACAATTTTTTTTAGCTTAGCAAAGACTGTTTTGTACTGACTTTTTGGCAATAACACAACATTTTTTTTCTTTCAGTAAGCTGGGGACATACAGTACTATATCAGACAAGGGTTTTATAGTAGAAGTTAAACAATGTTGCAATCTGTCACTTTTTTAACAGAGTAATAGAACAAACACTCACTGGATTTAGTGTTTCTTCTGCTTGTTTTCCTGAAACAAGATAATGTGAAATGTAGTACATGTGAGACATCATTGCATCTGGTGCATTAGGCTGTGTGTCTGTTTGTGTTATCTACCAAAGATCACACTATCTGTTTTATATGACATAGAGCTATTTATGCTTGAATCTTTGTCTATATGGAGCAATACTGATGCTCAGATAAACTGGATTTTGTTGGAGCAGGTTCTTTAACCCTACTCACTGTAGGAGAGTGGTCAGGTCGACTGTATAGCACCTACAGAGCTCAGATATACTGTGTGGCTTTGTCGGTGTTCATAGATTTAAAGTTTCAATCTGTAACCCTCATCATTACAGTACGTATCCGTTATCACGTGTGCCTGTGTCCACAACCACATCTGCTTCTGTTTGTTTACAAGGACAATGAGAGCAATAATAAGTGGATAAGTTATGTGTGTCTTTGTACTGATAAAATGTAACGCTTTGCAAGTACCGCATGTATTTTGGTGAATACTGTGTCATCACAGCAACTGCATACGCGGTGTGTTTTCCCTCACCATTCAGCATGTTTTTCTCCAGGTAGAGGATAAGAATAAAAGGGTAGGCTTTCAGCTTCTTCTCACCATGTTTGCACATCACCTTAGGTAGTCCCTCCCACCGCTTGTTATCTGGTAGCTACAGTTAACAAAATACAGTCAACTTATACAAAAAAAGCAATTTTAACATGGCAAGTGTGCAAGTAGATGATCAGTATGTGATATGCAGTATAGGGATTTGAAGATCATACAAAAGTATGAAGTAGTGTTCGCGGACCTCATTCCCATGTATAACAGTAATGGAAGCTCAGAGTGTGGTGGAGAGATATAGATATGGGGATGAATAGTGGAATACGTAGAAAGCTGACAGATGAATAAATACGCTGATGGCGAATAAACTGGTCACAGTGAGGGATACAAGGGAAGATATTGAAGCGGGTACTTGAGAAGGGCTGGAGATTGTCCAGGTTGCCGAGAACAGTTCTGATGATGTCCTGAAAACAGAGAAGAAAAAGAAAGTTGAAGAGGGGGAAAATAAAGGGAGAATGAGCAATGTAAATAATGAGAGGTCAGAATGAATCAATTTACTGTGAAAATAGAAAATTAATTTGACAAATAAAACGGTGAATCAACACAACAAATGTGAATGCTGACAGAGTGACTAAGTAGGTGAGCTGTATTCATAATTACCTCCAGTTCCTGATTGAAGCCATTTCCAACCACCTCCTCTCCACTTATGACAAATATTAAACACATTATATTAGCAGTTCCAGTTTTTATAACATTTTTCAAATGCTGTAAAACTGATTACAGTATATAGGCACTTTTCCTGCTGCAGTGCATGCATTAAAAGTCTCGACTGTTGAGTACAAATATCAAACTGTAAGTCGATAACGCTGAAATGCTGCTGAGCCTTGAGTGTCAAAAACATTTGATATAGTAAGATAAAAAGAGCCTTCTTCAGTCACAAGGAAAAATACTTGAAGACATTCAAGGATCAGTCAGGGCTCTTATCCCTGAATAAAGGCAGACACATCCCGAGGCGCATAAAATCCTTTTCTTGCAGATGAAACAAAATATCAAGACAAAGTTAGGTAACACACATCAGAACATTTAATAGTAGCCATTTTAGGCAATAGCATTAAAAGAATGGAGTTAAAAAGGAGAGAAAAGATCAATGCTTCAGCTATAGCCCAATGCTTTTGAGACTGAGGATCGTTTTGCACTGCTTTCGCATTGGATCTTGAGGCGAAAAGGGAAAGGGAGAATGGAAGGAACCAGTGAGTGGATGCAACAATGATCAATAGTCTTTCTCTTGCTGGTATATGGTGTATATGGATTTTGAGCTTGTGCTCGCTGCTTTCAAGAAAAAAATAAAATAAAATATGAAAAAGAAAAGGAAATCTAAGAAAACAAGAATGCCAGAAAGATAATTACTCACATCTTTTGTTGCTCTTATCTAGAGTCTAGTCCCTGTTTCAAGTTCGGTCTCAAACTATTTTCCTTTTTTGCAAGGTACTTTAGGTCTTGTAGATTTTTCACTTTGAATTATCTCAGATTTGGTCACAGGTGAAGAGCACGACCAACTACATGATTTAATTTTGGCTTATAAACTATGATAAAGAAAGATCATCAAGATATGCAACTACAGATACAATATTTATTTTCTAGCCCACCACTTCCACTAATCCTGTTTGGTTAGTTTAATTTGTCAGTGGTCATACCTTGCTCTCATATTATACATTTTGCTCTTCCAAAAAGGGGCAACAGTGGGAAAAGAAAGAATTGACTTCAAGTACAAATAGAGAGTTGTGAAGTCTTGCCTGTAGCTGCTGCCCCCTCGAATCTTGAACTTGTAGATAAAACTACCAGCTTTGAAGAATCGAGTTTCAGGGAAAGGGAAGGAGAAGGCCTGCAGTGTCATGGCTGACCTAAAGATTTGGCCAAGAAAATCAGAAAATAAACAAATGAATCACTTGATGCAGTGGTGGTTTGATTGGCTTAGAAAGTAAGAATACAACATGTTAGCATACATGTCTACTTTACAATGGAAAATGTTCAGTTAGTTTAGCTAGCTGTCTTGCAAGGAAAACAATTAATTTGCTGTTTAATCTTAATCTTTACTCCTGTGATAGCGACTGAGTTTTTAGTGAAGCTCTCTCTATCTCTATCTCTCTTGCTCACGCTCTCTCTATCTCTCTCTCTCTCGCGCTCTCTCTCTCTCTCTCTCTCTCTCGCTCGCTCTCTCTCTCTCTCTCTCTCTCTCTCTCTCTCTCTCTCTCTCTCTCTCTCTCTCTCTCTCTCTCTCTCTCTCTCTCTCTCTCTCTCTCTCTCTCTCTCTCTCTCTCTCTCTCTCTCTCAAAATTACCGTAATGGCTACAGAAAATGGCGAGCGCTGTATTTGCTATGTTGTCCAGCAGGCTAACTTCACCCTCCAGCAGTACGTCAACAGTTAAAACCGTGTCAATCCAACACCTGACTCGCCCGAGATTCGCGGGATGGAGCAAGTTCCCGCCTTCTGGTCGCTTGGGCTTCTTTGATTAGCCAGATCTTCTTCCAATCAGCAGCGTCAGAGCAGGTGTCACTATGGTGACGGCGAAAACCGCCCAAACTGTCACATGACTCTCAGCTGACTGACCACGTGTGGTAGAAGCCAGAAGTTGTAAACAGTCATCGTTATACAACAGTTAAAGTTAGTTAAGGTTACATTTATTTTTAACTCATTACATTTTACTTTCATTAACATTTTTTTCCTTATGTACCCTACGTCTTAAAAAGAATTCAACTCGGACCCAGAAGGTGAGTGCTGGTTCTCATATACAGTAACATGTACATTTTCTTAAACAGCATCACTATAACAATGTTTATAATGCAGTGTGACGTTAAAAACTTTTATCAGTGCAATATTATAGAACGCCATTTGCGAAAATAACGTTACGTTCTGAAACTGCATCATTGTGAAGTTCACCGTAACAATGTTTGGGCTTCATTGTGATATAAAGTTCTATGTCTTTCCACAACACTGTGACGTTCCAGCGTTCAAGTACTGCAGTGTTTGTGCGACGTTCTAATGTTCTAAAACTGCAATATTTGCATTTGCATATATTATTTATTACGTTGTGGCGTTCTGTCCTAAAACTGCATTGTTGTAACAATGTTTGTGCTTCATTGTAACGACCAAAGTTCTATAAATGAAACATGTTACGTTCCATATACCATAACATTGCACTTCATGCCCCATCTTGTTAACACTGCATCTTTGTAACACGTTTGAACGTTAACACTGCACATTGACGCACCAAAGTACTCATTTGCTACCAATATCTACCTTCCTCTGTAATGATCCCGAGGAGAAGGGTAATGGAAAACCTACAGAAATCTGTGCAACCTGTCAACATGTCCACCCAGTCCCAAACCATATTCATGGAAATCGGTCATTAACTTCTCAAAAAACAATTTCCCTGCAGGAGTCAATAACGTTTCCTGATTCTGATTCACTCAACTCTCTCCCCCCTTTTAACAGTTTTGGATAGACTTAAGACAGAAAATAGGTTCCTTTCAGACGGGATGTCCTCCTCATCTCCCCCCAACCCTTCCGTACTACTAAATACGGGGGTTCAAATGCCCCTTCTGGGTTTGGGAACCTACAAGTTGTGTGGTCCTGAGGATGTCTACCGGGCTGTGGATGCTGCCTTGGCTGCTGGTTACCGTGCCTTTGACAGTGCAGCCGTTTACAAGAATGAAGCTGAGTTGGGTCGAGCCCTGAGAGAGCTCCTGCCCAAATATGGCTTGAGTAGAGAGGATGTATTCATAACCAGGTGATGTATATGGGCTTATATGCCTTCTGAAAGAGCACTGATTGTTCTTAAATAATTGACCTTTGGAGCATTACAGTACACAAGGCAGAGTATTTTGTTCCAGCACCTCTATGAACATGCATGTTATTTTGAATGAAGCTGGAAGATGAACATAACAATGGACTGTTTGTTCTGTGTGACACGCTTGCAATATCGTAATGTACCTAAAAAATCTTTCTTTATTGACTGTTAGAGCTGAGTAAAATGAACAATGCATGCCTGTAGGGGCTGGGGTGTCATACCCACATCACATGATTTTTTTCTCAGTAACCACATGGAGGTGCTGAAGCTCATGTTTGACTCTTAGTGGCACAGTATACATGCAAATTCTTCCCCTCAACAGCTTTACTTTCTCTGCCCAATGCAGCAAGCTGGGCCCAAAGGATCAGGGCGAGAAAGCCTTGGAAGGAGCCCTCACCAGCCTGTCGCAGCTGGACTTGGATTACATTGACCTCTATCTGATCCACTGGCCTGGCACGCAGGGTCTGGTAGTGGCTGATCAACGCAACCCAGGTAAAGAATTCAGATAAATCAAGTTTTCCTTTATGCACCAAAAATATAATTGGTGTATGCATGGAATGTAAGTACATTTATTTTACAAACGAACTCTTTGCTTTGGCCAGATGTTGAGTGTTCTATAAATAAATGCTCCACAAGTTAAGAGATAAGATTCAAGCTGCCTTCTCACATTCCTCCTCTACAATGTGTTTGTATAACAGTGATGATGACATTGTGATTAATATTTGATTCCCAGGCAACCGAGCTCAGAGTTGGGCCACGCTGGAGGAGCTGCATGCCCAGGGGAAGCTGAGGGCCATAGGAGTGTCCAACTACACACCAGCACACATGAGAGAACTGGTACAGAGCTGCAAAATCCCTCCTGCAGTGCTACAGGTATAATGCAGGAGAGTGAGAGAGGGATAGATACATAGGGAGTTGAACATATGATATATATAAAATTGTACACAAATGCAAAAAAAAAAAAGAGTGTTGTGCACTTGGTTTTTGAAAAAGCTAATGCAGACGGTGTGTGTGCTTTTTTTCTTCAGGTAGAATTTCACCCACGGCTATGCCAGACAGAGCTGAGGAGAGTGTGTGAGGAGTACAGAGTGTGTTTCCAAGCCTACTCCTCTTTAGGGAAAGGAGAACTGGTTACTGATCCAGTGGTTATGGAGTTGGCAAAGAACTGTGAACGCACACCTGCACAGGTAAACACATATACAAAGCATTTGGATTTATGCCTTATTTTAGCCAGCCTCACTTATTCAGTGTTCAAAATAAATAAATAAAAATGTGCACAACACTTGGAAAACATTTAAGTTTTCTGTTCACCTCCAGGTCCTGCTGCGCTGGGCTGTGCAGCAGGGTGTCCCAGTGCTCCCAAAGTCCTCAAATCCAGACAGAATAAAGGACAACGCCAGACTTTTTGACTTCACACTGAGTGACACAGACATGGACAGACTGTCAGCCTTAGACTGTGGGCACAAGTACTGCTGGGATCCCTCAGAAGTGGCTTGATGAATCACTAGCTGTCTTCCATGGTGTTTTTTCTCATTGCTGCAGCTTTGAACATGCAGCTTAGTTAATTCAATCTCACATAACAAATACACTGGGTTAATGTGTTGAGGATTCAGGTAGATGTATGTAATGAGATATCTGAGACCTCAGTTAACATCTAGAACACTGGCCAATTAGTTGCCTTGTTGATTGTGCCCCATATGCCATGAAACACTTAGAGCCATTAAGGCAGTAGCTAGGTTTAGGTTTGCTGTCTAACACCCAAATAGTATTTTTCTGTTTACAAATCAGTCAGTGTGCCATCTTTACAAGACCTGTTCCATATTCTTCAGTCTGTTGCTTCATGCTGTTTCATAATACAAATTATTGTTATGGCTTTTCCATTTGAACTGATAATAAATTACCACAATTTGCAATGAACAAACTATGACTTAAAACTTTTCAAGGCTTCCTCTGTACTGGAGTATTTTTAAGAATTACACAAGAGATTCACTTTAAAACCACTCTTAAAATTATTTATTCAGCACAGCGTATACCAGAAGTTTGACAGCTGTAGAGAAAATACATTTACAAAAGTCATTAAAAAATGAAAAGGAACTTAACAAAAAAAAAAAGGAAATATTAAAATTAAATTTTCTCCACACACATCTCCAGATTCAAGTAATACTAAGGATGGTTGCAAAACTCCAGGTGCCCAGGCAGGTTTTTCCTCTGGGGTGTGTTCACTGTCACAAATGTTTAAAAGTCAAAAAACCATCACTGGTCATATGACTTCTACTGAAACAGCATTTCAAGCCAAAATCTGTCTTAGCAGTGTTAACGTTCTTTCTTGCAGTTGTGACAGTGTACGCACCTCGGCATTATTGTGCTTCTTCTTGAGCGTAATCTGTGACAGCGAGCTGTAAAGTTTAAGGCGGTAATTGGGTAAACACACAAGGCTGGCTATGCGGTGTCACATCACAGGTTACAGCATGTTCAAGGCAGTTCATAACAATATTATACTCTTTTAAATTCTAGCTGAACGATATTTTCAAGAGAGAGTAAAGCATTCATATCTGATCCCAAGCTCACAACACCATGCACATATTCCCTGCCAGCTGACTCAACTCTACTACTTGTGTCATAGGATAGGTAGATCTACTAGGAGTGACCTGTTAAAATGTAAAGCACTATTTGTTGTGGCAGCACAATTACTTAAACACTCATTCCTGATTTCCCTGTTGATGTCTGATATCATAAAACAGTGGAGTCACTCTTTAAATTTTACAGCATAGTCTAACTGTACTAATTATGTCAGGTTTATACCAGATACTAGTTCATTTTTAAAGGGTTGCCAAAACATTTCAGTCAATGCAATCATGTTACAAAACACGTGGTAGACTTAGAAAAGGGTGGTGTCATTCAGATTGTCTGGAATTCTCTGATTCAAAATTGTCCTTAGCCAGGTTTAGCAAAAGCTATAAAAAAGATGCAATAAAGTTTCGTTTACAGACAATACAAACGCAGCCCTCGACCTGCACACCCGAGCACTTCACAACTCAACCGAGAGGAAGAGTATAAGACACAAGTAGAACAAACCTTTTACAATTTTCCAATAATCACATATTGATAAACAAATCACAACTAGCCTAATCATATTCACCAAGCTGAGGAGAAGTGCCGATCTTAGTTTATAACAATTTAATATGAATAATAATAACTTCCATAAAAGTCATATTGTGTAAAGTATGTGCCAAGCAATCTTCAAAAGCCTGAATATAACATAAATAGCAAATCTAGCATTAGATCAGCACTCCTACACCTCTGGCTTGATAGATTGAGATCCCATTTTATTCACACCTCAATGCAGATTAAGGACACATTTAAACAAACGTGTATATAAACTTTACAGGACTGAGAACTGATTTTCCCGAGCGACCTCTGCGAGTAGTTTGGAAAAATCAAGTTGAAATCCTTTTTAGTAATTTCCACCTGTGTGGACTCTCTAAATCCATCCTCTGCATGCACCAGGTGCTGAGTAAATGGGGCCAAAGGCTAGTGTGTTGGCTCCTTGTACAGCAGTTAGTCCATCCCCATCCCCACATCTTTAAATATCCACATAACATTTACCACAACAGCCATGGATTGTACACTGCCTATTGCTAGGTTGTCCACTTATTAAATAGCATGGTAACCTTGTAAAATAGGAACTCGTAAAATTTAATTCTGGCTAAACCATGTTGCTTATAACCCCATTCAATGCCATTTGATAAAATATTAACAAAATATTTACACATAAAAATTACAAAGTCTGTTTTACTTTTTGCTCATCCAAGGCTTTAAAAACATAGATTCATATTGGTTTGTGCTTTTTTTTTTTTTAATATGTATGTTTATGTCATTTTCTTCAGATATAATCTAACCCTGAAGTTGTACAAAAGATATTATTTCTGCATCGTCAGAGATTGTCCTTGTACAAGATTGTTCTTTTGATGAATTTGAGATATAAAGCAGTTAATGATAGTCGAGTACAGTGGTTTCAATGGTACTGGCCTGCAGGTAGCAGAACAGGAAGCTGGATAAATGCCCCAAATTGAATACTTTAAAAAATCCTTCCTTTTTTTATACTCTCTCTCCTCTGTTGCCTGAAGATTATTTTGGCACACAATACTCCGTGAGTTTGTGCAATTTAAGCTCAAACATTTGGAGCAAAGCAAACATTAGCAACACACTGACATCTGTGATTTCCTCAAGAAAATGAGGAAGGAAGGAAGTTGTAACAGCATTCAAGGTGGCCGAAATAGTCAGGTGTTTTGTTTCCAGTACATTTATCTCTCCATCTACAGTATATTGCATAGTGTTGATGTGAGAGACAACTGAAATGATAAGCATCTGTTAACTGAGTGGTCACATTTTAAATCCCCTTATTATATTCTTTCATTGTGTTTTAAAGAGATCATCTCTCCTCTCTTGGTCCATCCTTGTATCCTATTTTATGGGACACAGATGGCCAAAACTCTCACCATTTCACAGTGCCCTACAGTGTTTCCATAACAACCAAAAAAAATACAAAAAATGTATATAAACGTAGTTACCGATGATGTGTAAAAATGACAAGGCTAGAGGCTTGGACCTCAGTGTTAGCCATGCCTTTATGTTTGGTTCTTTCTCTGTTTGATCAAACCAACCTTCCCGCTCAGAGCAGGTCTCATTGTTCTCATCACAGTTGTTCTCTCGGCTTCCCCATTTCTTTCTTCTCGCTCCCATCGATCCCTCCGTCACCCTTATTTCTGCTCTCAGTGCCTACTCAGTGCGGTGAGTGTGGTTTTCATGGTGGTTGTTTTCTCCTTCTGTCTCCTGGTGACTAAAGAGGTAGCTCCACCAGCTTTTAGAGTGGTGCATCTGTTTGGCTGTCCCAGCGCTCTTCACCTTCCTCATCTCCTGCACGAAATAAAGACATAGTGTTATGTTAAAAAAAAAAAAAAACAATCGGTTCAACTGCGTAAAGGCAAGTTTTGGTTCCTGTTTTCCCAATTGGAATTAGGTCATCCCAGCACAGAGAACATCCTGGCATAACTCGATCCTTTTCCATTACTACCAACACCCAAGCATGCCAAATAAACTGAAACTAGACAATCTGTGATCTCTCTCCTTTTTTTTAATGCTTTTAAACCCTTCCTCCATCCCCTGACCCCTCCTTCTCACCCCTTTGTCTAGCAGGCTGTCAAATTCGTCGCTCATCCTTCTGAGCTTCTGGCCGTATTTCTTGGCCGCCCACAGTGCAGGGGGAGCTGACTTGGACCGTCCCCTGAATGGAGCTCCTTCGGTGGGCGTGCCGGCTTCCTCCTCCCCCCTGGCCTGGAACTCTTCGTCTCTGGAGACAGTGGAAGTGTGGGACTCTGAGTTCAGCCTCGTTCGACCGGTCGCTACGTTGGGAGAGAGAGAAAGGTAACAGGGGTTGGGATTAGATCAACATAAAGCACCAGGAATGGGAGCAATAGGGAAATAAAGCAGGAACAGAGGAATTCCTAGTAATCACCTATCACCACCCATCATTAGAATGGTGCATTCAAAAACATCAAACTCTGCAGATAGAATACAAATAACATCCGTCTTTACTGCATTGAATAGAGCTTACATTTCAACTAACAACGGGATCTCATTTTAAAGTCCCAAAGTACACTCCAGTAAAACATATGTGAGAACAGTCAGATTTCAAATTTCTGCAAAGTGAGTCCTAAGAGACAAAGCCAAGAAGAGGCATGACCAAAACGTGGGAAAAAAAGCAGAAAAGTTGGAGGAAGTGATGAATGCCTGCTGCTTTGGTTTGAAACAATGATCCATTTTTGTGCAACACTAGGATCCACACAGCAGCAGCTTTTACAGAAAAAGAAACTGGGGCAGAAAATAAAGACAGGACCAGTTTTGATTAATCTAAATGCTAAGAAAAGTACACGAAGTAATGAAGCAATAAGTACTTGGAGTCCTTCTCAACTCAGTGTTCCTACCTGCCCCTCGGAGTTCAGGCAAGGTGAGGGTGTGGCGTTGAGAAAGCTCCTGCTCTTGCCCAGTTAGTGATTGGCTCATTTCTCCTTCGTCTACCTCCTCCGATGGCTCTGACTCACTGTCTGAAATGGTGAAGTTTGCAGCCATTGTGACATCTGGAGAGAGAAGATTTTAAACAGGGATTCACTAAAACCTCCAGACAAATGTCCATACATTGATGCACATACTGTACACAAGTCAATGTTAATGAGTTTCAATGTTATTAACACCACCGTTGGTTAGTAGTAGTGTTGACCAGTCTGAGAACTAGAAAACAGACATAAAGCATGTTGTTTATACAAATGATGACCAAAACAACATCAGTTCCAATACATCTCTATAAAAAGGAACCTACCATAGAGTAAGATGCAAAAAACGGGCTATATGACAACTGTGCTACTGATTTACTGTCAAACCGCACATAAGCTAATTATTCAAGAATCATAAAATGGCATCATCCGTTGTATCGCTGGTGCTGCCCCTATCTAACACACCCAGCAGGCTATCTATTTCATTATGCTGCCCCTGATATAAGCCAGTCCAAAGGTATTCACAGTGTAGCGACCCGCGAGATAAACCGATTTGTTTTGACAACACAGACTCGTATTTGATATCACTATCGACTTGTTGTTACACTGCTACTAAAGCAGCCAGCACACCTTCTTCTCCGGTCAACACAACTGACTCGCTTGTTGTGTTGTTGTTGACTGAAGAGGACAAAAGAAACTTCCTACAGGGCGGCAGCTGCTGCGGGGCTGTCTTGGCTAACACCGAATGTGAAAATAAAGATTATTGACATGTTTCCTTACCCGAAATCTTTATCGTGTGAGCCCGAAAAGTGCGAGTGTGTCTTTAGTTAGCCTCATGCGGCCGCAGCTGTTGTTATTATTGTCGGTGTCTTGTCTTTTTACTGTACATACAGTTTAGCTCCGCGCTCACCCAATCGCCGCGCGTCACTGTATCGCCGCTGCGCGCTGACGTCACTGTTGCGAGCTAGGACTGGGCTGGGGCTTTGTTTGTCTTACCGGTTTACCGTAATGTGCTTGGTAGAGGGGCAGCAGGATTTCAGACTTGACATACATGTACATCAACCAAATATTGTTTCTATATGTTTTGATTTCTGTTGGAGGTGCGATTCAGACACTATACTTAAGTAAAAGTGGTAATATACAACAGATTGATAATACTGCATTAGAAGTTTATGTCCTGTTTCCAACATTACACTTACGTAAAGGTACATTCACTTTATCCAATGGTAGAATTTAGTACTTGTATAATCTTTTTATGCTCCTTTATATTGCTTCTTTAATACATTTACCCCCGCGTCCTAAGGATAAGCGGTAGTATAGCTATTAGATGGATGAATGGATGGGTATTTTGTATGTGAATACTAAATCTGCATAAGCTGCAAATTTACTAGTAGCTTTAGCTGTCAAATAAATATAATGAGTAGAGAGTGCCATATTTGCCTCCGTAAGTGTTGTGAAGTAGAAAAGTAACATAAAGTGGAAATACCCAAGTACAAGTATTTCTTAATAAGTGTAATCTTTTTTCTGAAGGATTCTTTTTTTTCTTTCTGGAAAGGATTTGCAGACAGCATAAAAAATAAGAACCAAAGATGAATCAAAAGTAAACAGACAGGAAAGGCAGAACCTGTGTTGCACAACAGTTCTGTGAGATTTGCTTTTGGCAGACGTTGGGCCTCTGATAAGTAGAGGGTGGGACACCAGGCAGTAGTCCTGCAAGTGTAAACACACACACACAGATTATACTGTCTCTTACTAAACATGGTACGAAATAGTCATCCAGTGACGTGATTTTAATAGATTTATTTATGTGGTAAGAAATGTTAAGCATTAAGGAGGAAGCGCACCAACATTGAGTTCTTGTTCTTCTCTCCTTTTCTCTTCTTTCCTTCGTCCTGGGACACAAGTAAGGAGAGGACAATCCCAGCACGCTGTTGGTTGTCATACCTTGCATGAGCAGCAGGTGGGGAGGCAGGACCACAAACTGAGCTGCTGTGACTTCAGCTGAGTTGTGTTCCTCTTTGGTCACACTGCGTCATCTCCTGTCTCATGTCACACATTGTTTTACAGTTACTTAAGGGAAAATAAGTGGAAAAAGCCCTAAAGTCTAATTTCGATTACTTTAATAACATCATTTGCAACATGTAAAAATATTTTCATAACATCAGGGTCGGATGCATGAAAATTGCATTGTGAAAGCTTTTATTTCCTGAAAAGATGATACTGCAGAAGTAATGTTTTTGACAGAGTACTGCTTGTGTGATAGACATGTTCCATCTCCTTTATTATTTATACAAAATCCTTACGATAGAGCAGTACTGTATATAGGGTGCATGGCTCTGTATATGCTCTGCTGATTGTTCTTCTTTGCTTTCTTGCACTTTCTTCACATCAGTGCAGGAGACCCAGCCATGTAATTATCTAACATTTATATCCAGCTCTGCCTCTATTCCTCCTCTCCTCCTCTACGTCACTCTTCTCTCTCCCTTCTCATGAATTAAGATTTAAGATCTTTTGATAAGAAACAACATTAATCCATGTTGCAATGTCAGTAAGTGACACTTACTATATCAGACGTTTTTCTTTTTTTTTTGGAAACTGTGACACATTCGAGGTGGTGTTATGCAGCTTCTTCTAATTTCAGTGCATCCAAAGAGAAGTAATGTGAGTTTCTAAGCTTAGACAAACATGCAAAGCAGAGTCCGTACACTCAGCTTTTCATACACTGATGTCTGAATGGAGCAGCTCTTGACGATGACTGTTGAGACTCGCTTCTTTTGAACTCTATTTTGGGAAGGATTATAGAAATAATACATTGGAATTCTCCTTTTGGTGGGATTTGGGTCCAGTTTGAGAACCATACAATTATTATCCATTTTAATCTGTATGTTGTGTGTGTGTGTGTGTGTGTGTGTGTGTGCGCACCTCCATTTATCCACCAACTTTGTAGAATTAAAGATCCATAAAACTACCATCCATGAGAGGTGTGTGAGTGAGAAAACCTGATCTTACACACTTTCATGTACAAGCAGGATCATTGTCACACACTTACATGGACAGGGTGTGTGTTTGTGTAATCTGAAGGAGCCATACAATTAACATCCATTTATATCTCCCTGTACCAACCTCGCCCTGCCTCCCTGCCCCTCATCTGGCGGTTATTTTGGGAAACGGAGGCGTATGCACTCCCACACTGTCTCCAAACCACCACTCAGTGTGTGTGTGTGTGTGTGTGTGTGTGTGTGTCTGTGTACTGTATGTGTGTGTGTCTGTGTGTGTGTGTGTGTGTGTGGCTGTTTGAGAGCAAATCCAGCAGTGTTTCCAAGCGGTTCCCGAAATGTTCCTTCCAATTCAATGCCAGGACACTGCCTGTGAGCCGCCACTGCCGCAGCTTCACTCACTGTCCTTTCAAATATTTTCCCCCTCTCTGCAGACCCAGGTTCAGTCAGTTGTTGCGGGAGCTGAGTAAGATGCAGGGCAGGTTTTGAATTATTTGAAGTGGGAGAGCTTTGGGAGGAGCAAGGAGGGATGGTGTGAAAAAAACAGGATGATTTGGTTTCTAAAAAAGATGACAAGCACATCTGAAATACAGACAGTGTGTTCCAGACATGGAGAGGGAGAGATGCAGACAGAGAAAAAGCAACAGATGATGTAAAGTGAAGGCGGACCAGGAGAAGAGAGAGGTGTCTGAGAGTGCACAGAGAGATGGAAGTAAGAGAAGGTAATAGAAGAACACAAAGGGTGGCAGTAAACGTAAGGCTTTTGGAAGATTGACTTAGAATAAAGAAGAATCTGAGAGACACAAGTCAGAGGACTGTCTTAAGTGAAAGAGACAGGAACACGGAAAGAGAAAAACATAACCTACATCAGAGTGAATACACTCCTTCAGCCTGCTCATTCAACTCCAGCCCTTTCATCAGTGCTCTCAGTACATGCTCATTATATACGAACCGCTCCCTCGTTGTATAACTAACTCTGTGATCACAAGGCTGACATATGGCGGCTTTCTAATTCACTGCACTCCACCCCTGTGTAGCCTACTGGTCTTATAACCCAGCTCTTCTTAAACTTAAGTTTGGGCCTTAAAAGGGGGTTGCTGGCTTTGTGGATAAAAATACAGAAATGTCCAGCTCAACAGGACATTTCATCTTTCTCTTGACACATGAAACATCTGTCAGAGGATCGAGGAAACTCTCCTTAAAGTCACATTTCAAGAAACTAGCTCAGAGCTAGCTTGAAAATGCCCAAACTGTTAAAGGAATAGTTTTTACATTTTGGGAAACATGCTCTGCTGTGCACTAAATATGAAGCTACAGTCTGCTTAGCTTAGCGTAAAGACTGGGACCAGGGGGAAGCAGCTAGCCTGGCTCCATTCAAAGGTCAAAACAATCCACCTACTTGCACTTTTAAAGCTCATTAATTATTATGTTATATCTTGTTTGTTTAGTTCAGGAACTGAAGTGTAAAAATTAGCAGCTATGGAGAAGTCACTGCTCCCTGCCAAGAAACAAATAGCAAATTACTGGTATTATTTAGTTATTTTACAGAAATAACATCTTTTATCTGTTATTTTACAGATTAAAGGAAGAGATATAACATTTTAATGACTGAGCTTTAGAGGTACTTGTAGGTGGGACAGAGCCAGTCTAGCTGTTTCCTCATCTCAAACTTTAAGCTACAAGCTAAGCTAACTGTATCTTGGCCATAGCTTCACATTTAGCGGACAAGCATAAGAGTGGTATCCATCTTCACATCTAACGCTCAGCAAGAAAGCAACTACGCATATTTACCAAAATGTCAAACTACTCCTTTATAAAAGTAGATTATGAAGTCTTTTACTATGAGTCTGGCTTGGCTAGGACTCCCACTCCCACCCATGTCTGTTCGCTATCTTCTCAGATAGCATACAAGCCACACACACTCTTGTCCAGCCTTCTTTTAACCCTCTATATTATCAATTATAGTTGGGCTGTTTTCATGTGGTTGGAGTGGTGCGTTTGTGCTCAGAGAGCTACTGTAGATGTATATATATGCTGGTCTGCAACACATGTACGCCATATGTGAACTTTAAGGTGTGTATACTTGTAGCTACATGCTTGTCATTATATTGTGTAATGATAGTTAATGAATAGTTGTAGTTTTTTTTTGACTGGTTCAGACAGGAAAAACAAGATCATGATATGAATGGAATGTCCGCTGTCTTAAACCTTTCACCTTTGATTCAGTACATCCTGAAATATAGATGTGCACAAGTTCAGGTTTTTAATTATTCACACTTTACTGGAACTAAATAACAGATCATTAAGTAAGCTTTAGCTATTACCCCACTATAAGCATTATCACACACTGCTTTAATTGTCTGCGATAAATGTAGTTTTTGTTGGCTAATCAGTTTATGTTCACTACTGTAAAGTTTTGCCTGCAGCAAAAGATATTTTCATGGCTCACTTAGTTATGGTGGTAAAGACACCATACAGCACAGTGTCATGCATTATACAGCCAGTGCTTGTGGCCAATTAAATCATAAAATACTGTGACGCTGAAGTCTTTTATCAACATAGGTAGGTGCAAGCACATGTAAATCTGTGCAATCTATTACTTAGGGAGTGTTTTTTGGATAAAAGTGATGAAATTAAGTATTCTCTACAAAGATACGTAGATAGAGAACATGTAATATGTGTATGAATAAAAAAAGGTAATATTCCTTTGATTGTGGACATAGCATATGTGATTGTTGCCATAAATAATATTTTACTTTTGTATAATCAGAGTGCCCTTAGGTCACCTGTCAACCTGCTGTCACAGTCACTGTTTCATGGCACATGATGTTTATATATATATATTTTTTAACAATTATTAGGTCAGGTGACCCTTTCAGTGGCTCTGCTCCATGCCACTGTTTTCCTTTCCATCTTTTTCATGAG